ATGCATGCATGCATGCATGCATGCATGCATGCATGTATGTACGTGTGCATGCATGCATGCATGCATGCATGCATGCATGGATGTATGTATGTATGTATGTATGGATGGATGGATGCGTATTATGTCTATTTTCATTTTTGCACTATATATAATGGATAAACATGTAAAACGTGCACAGACATATTTGTACGTGTAATTGTATGCACGGGCCTGTCAGCGATAACATGGTTGAACTTTGTGCTCCTGCTGTCCTCGGCTGCTGGCGCTTCGCCATCTTCTCATCAGCCCACTCCCTGACACCACCCGGCTGTCCTTGACAATGGTACCTTTGAGACCGGCGCGATGATCGATGATGTCTTGCTCCAGCCTCGACACTTGCAGGATTTTCGCCGGGATCAATTCGGCTGGAAACAAGTGCCAGGACTTAAGTTCAGGCAGCGGCTGCAGCTGGAAAATGTTCTCTAAGCGTGCAGCCTGGCTTTGCAGCATTTCGCGGCTTTGGAGCCATGAGGGAAATTCAGGTGCCTGTGGCTCATCCTTCGGCTGGAAGGTCAGCGCCTGGGACGGATCCTGCCAAAAGGTCAAACCGAAAGAGGAACGGGAAGCTTCCTGCCGATGGCGTGCCTCTAAGCGCCACTCTTTGGAGAGATCTCTGACGAGAGCATCCTCACCTCGCTTTGTTTGGGGTTCAGCTGTGCTGAGCTACTGGGATCCTCTCCGGCCTGTCGGATCTGGTGGAAGTCCCGATAACCTCCTCAAATCCTCACGCCCGCGTGCAAACAGCGGCTTCCAGCCTGTATGATCATGGGGCAACAGTCTGCATCACTAGGTCCCTCGGTCTTTCAGATGCCGGTAACCCCTGTGAGGCTCTTTGGGCCCGACGTCTTGCATCGTCAAGATCCCAGGACAAGGCTGCAACCCCTTTGTGGGCACTTTTAGCCCGCTCGCCTCGGCTCAGGGTGTGGCTTCAGCGACGGAATCGTGCTTCGGCTTCCTTCTGGTCATTTAGACCCCGACTTTGGAGGTTGGCCCAGACCTGGGTGTGCTGGGTCTTGGGCGAACACAAACGAAAGTAGGAATAGAGTCATAGAGTCATCGACGTTGTCCGCGTTGAACACAAGGTGCACTTTCCGAATCGGTATGGAGGTCATCGCCTCAGACAGGGCTCCGCACGGCTCCTCTGCCAAGTGTGATTTCTGCCACATGGCCTTCAGCACGGATGCCTGCTGCGTGTCAGGCTGCGCTGCGTCGTCTTCGGTCTCAGACAGTCCATCCAGTCCGGTGATGCCGTGGGTTCACTGAAAGATGTGACCATAGGGGGTTCGTCCCCAGAAACGAAAAGTCCGAAAGGACGCTTCCGAGCTCCAAGCCCCTTCGGTACCACGAGGACACAGACTCCAACCTAAGCCAAGGAAGGCTCTTCAAGCTTCGCAACCGAACTACCGCCCTGATGACCATCTGACTAGCATGGTTGCGGCACATACCAGAAAGTGCTCACTGTGCAGCGGGCTTGGATTTTCTGCTTCAGTCGCTCCAGTACAGTGGAACTGTACGTCAGTCGTTCCAGAAGGCTGCTAATTGGCACGGGCGGGATGGCGCTTTAGAAACAAGGCCAGAAAGCCAACTGTACCTCAAAGGGATTCCATCGAACGCAATCACACTTGCGCACGTGCAATCGTGAACAGACCGTCAAAAACCGAGGAAAGGCTATCCTGAAACCCAAGTCGCTGGCAACTGCGACTATCTTGGATGCCAGAACGGTCCGGGTGAACTCTTGATCACTTCGATACAGCAGGCCTGGATCAAAATGCCATCCGAAAGCATCACGCATTATACTCACCGCAACTTTGCAGGGCTGCGGTATGCTGAGGAATGAGACCGAAGACCGATGGGGCCACAATCCGTCCGAAGTTCACGATGGCCGAGTCGATGCCTAAAGGCGTCTTATACTCTTGCATGGAGCACCAGAAGACTGCGAGCGCTAAACCCCAAACTCACTCTGAAACCTGACCTCTACGCTCGCCTCACAAGTCTTTCCGGGTTGCCCAAGAGGGCGCCACATCGGCCCTGTGGGGCCGTCTGTACTAAGAGCGAGGGCAGAGCCGGCGAGACAAGCGCGCAGCCTCTCACAGGCCATCAAAAGGCTGCTATACAGGTTAACTATAAGGTTCCTTCGAAGATTGTTATACGTTACTCATGTTACTAGACGGTTTCTCTATGGGGTTACTACTACCGGGTTTCTAGAAGCGCATTGAGCCCTTCAACAAAAAAAGAAGCTCTTGTGACTTCCCTGGAGGCCTGCACCGTACACGGCACCACATGTGAAGACTCCGGCCAGGGAAGTGCCGACAGGAAGGCTGAAGAGAGCACCTAAATGGAGCAAAAAACAAAGGCTTAGAAAAAAAAAAAGACACTGCTATGTAGGCAGTTATGGCTTATGCAACAATCATGGCACTGCTATGTAGCCAGCAATTACAGTCATAATTTACATGGAGATGAGAGACACCCCTTTCTGACCACTTCGGAGAGCTCTGCTCTGCCAAGAGGCCCAGCCCGGCCAGAACCAGCAATGCACCAAGGACCATCGTGATCTCCAGCCCATGTCTTTGGCGGCAGCGTTCGAAGCCGGCTATCTGCACCTTTCAGAGCCCAGTGTAAAAGCAAGCCGAGTCCGCCCTGCTACCAGCGAACTGCAGGCAAAGGACCGCAGCTATTGTCAAGGAGATGCCCGTGAGCACCTTTCTTTGACCGAAAAGCCAGGCAAGAAATGCATGACCCGTATAGTCGCACAACCCTGGAGCCAGAGCTGAGGCTCGAGCAGCTCCCATGTTTGTGAGGGCAAGCGCATATCGGCGCGCCAAGAGAAGTGGGAAGTAGGCATGAAAACAAGTCCTGTTGGCAATGTTCACTGCAGCTGGCACAGCAAAAAGGAGCCGCTCGCATGCGTACACCATATATGCGTTTGACTGTGTTGTATGTGCGCATGTAATTAGGCTGCACGTACGTAGGTGTGATGCATGTATATGTATGTACATACGTACATATGTATATGTATGCATGTATGCATGCATGCATGGGCGTCTGCATGCATGTACCTTGTGTGTATGCATGCACGTGCTTGTTAAGCTGGCGTGGGTGTATATACGGATGCATGCATTCACCCATTTATGTATGAAAGTTTATGAAAGTGTGTAAGTATGCCAATCGCATGTGTGCGCATGCATGCCCGTATTTACGCACGAACGTACCTACGTCTGCAGGTAGGTATGTAGGCAGGCAAGCAGGCAGTAGGCCAACAGGTAGGCGGTAGGGACGTAGGGAGGAAAGCAGGCAAGTAGGTAGGTTGTTGGGCAGGTCAGGTATATATGCATGCGCGTCCATCTATGTACGTACGTACCGGTGCACACACACACACACACAAACACGCGCACGCATACCATGTTTACATACACATATCCATATGTATGTACATGTATGTGCGCATGCAAATGCACATGCACATGCATATGCATAGGTATATGTATATGTATATGTACAAAGACCTTTACATAGCTCATGCACATGTCATGCACATCGCGGCTGTCTTGCTGTACACGCATATGCGGCGGAATAGCAGTGAAGACTCCTAAACAGCATGTAAACATGCCACCCTCTTGCCGCTTACACATCATGCAGGCAAACACGCGGCCATACATGCATGCATGACATGCGAACTTACATGCACCTAGCTTAACGTCGGACGGCGTTTAACATGCTACTGGTAGAGCGGATCAGACCTTATACGATGTGCAGCTACATACACGCAGTGAAGATCAGAATGTGGTCAATGGTGCGCAGCCGTATCTTTGCGATGCATTTTCCAACCTGCAGCCCTCCTTGTACAGGCCCACAGAAACGAACAGAACAGCAAGGTCACCTTGGCTGCAGAATCGGGTCTTCTTGGGCTGTCACGTTACTGCAATGCTTATTTGGGCGCAGGACAGCTAACACAGGAGATCTTGTCCCAGTAGAAGTGGTGGACTTCTTTGGCCCTTTTCCACTCCTGCGGCAGGGGAGTTAACAGCAAGCCGCCCACATCGATGACCAAAGCACCCAGAAAGGGCCTTCGCTGGATCGGTTCCGGAAGAACTTTCAGCGCCAGGACAGCTGCAACTGCACCAGTGCACGCTGAGAAAAACATCGGAGCAGAGAGCGTCCTGAAGAGGCTTGCCGTGCAAACGTGCCGAAGCGCTTACTGGGAACGAAAACAAGAAACTTCGGAGACTTCTCCTGGAGGCGAGCGCTCCCCCAAGAGCTGGGCCAATGATGAACCTGTACTTATCAAAGCGACATGAGAGCACCACAGAAGTCGAAGACAAGTCTCGCAAGAACCGGGAAGACATCATCAGCTGAGGTGTAAATCCAAAAGGCGCCATTGTCCCAGCCGCTTCTCCTCATGGACATGCAAGTTGTTAAAGCGCGGTTTCGAGAGCCCTCGCGACGGCTCACTTTGCCAAGCCACTGTATGCCAAGACCTTAGGGACCTCTTCTGCATCGAAGGCATCCACTATGTAGGCCTTCACCACGGGTACAATTCCGCTGAACATTCCGGACACACCTCTGACCTCGGGCACTGCAGCAAGAAGGGAAGGACAGGAAGAATCACTGCTTCGTGGCTGCTTCTTGCGATCCAGCTGCGACGAGGAAAGCTGCAAAGGGCCAACAGCATCTGGGCAGGGCGATGTGAGGCTTCAGACGCTTCTCAACATACAGCACAACCGAAGCTGGTGAGTGCCAGCAGGACTACTTCAGGAGATGTGCAGAAAAGGGCGCCAGAAACATGATCAGAAACGCGACAGCAACACTTGAAGGCTAGTTTGCGACATGGAATGGCCAAGGTGTGGTTGAGGCATGAGCAGCATCTCTCACCGATAAGGTCCAACCGAGATGCGCTATGGCCACACCCTGCAGGGCAGAGCCAACCACACCTCCCAGCAAGGCCATGAACAGTACCTTCCTGCGGCCAATGAAGTCGCTCAGAATCCTGGCACACTGCAACTGATCGGCCATAGCTTTGGCCACGCTTTGCCATGCTACAAAGCAGAGCTCTGAGCCCATATAGTCTTTGCCAACAAGGTTCGGCCAGCACGAGGTTGTGCAAAAGCGCCCCAGTGCAAAGGACGATGCCACCAAGCCGACCCCAATCTCCGACTTCATGGAGTAACGCTTCATGAGCATAGGCGTAATCGGAAACATCGCCGTGAAGCTCATGAGGTTCAAAGAGGATATGGCAAGCAAGGTCCACAATGTCATGGCGCCAAGCTTTGAAGCCTCTGTAACGCTGCCCTGGGCTGCAGACTTCCGTGACAGAAGCCTTCCGTCACTCAACCTCCCCCTCTTTGCCTTGCTAAGACTAAGCACATTTGGCCGCCAGTTGAAGTTCTCACTCTGGATGGAACGTGGCCGACCAGGAGAGGGAGAGGCAGAGGCCAGGGGCCTCCAGGCCCAGGCCTGCATCAGGGCCTCGTCACAGGCCTGGAGACCACACCACGGCCCTCCATTCTGGCTCTACGTGGACGTCATCCTGAAGCCGACATCTCACAGCGAGATCTACCAAAGTCTCCTGCGCAGTAACAAAAGAGGGAAACTCAACTCTATCTCTAAAACCAGCTGTGCGCTCCGTCACGCTGCACAGCACGCAAAAAGAAACTGCATGGGGCACGTGCGTTGCTTCGCGGCAGCTGCTGGCAAGAAATAGCCTCCAATCGAAAGTCATATCTTCAGCAACAGGTGGAGTCAAGGAAAACCAGTTCAGACGAAGGACATCGGCCCTTCAGCGCATGCCAGAATTCACAATTCCCTGACTGCATGTCCTGGCAGCTGGCTCAGCGCATGTGCATGTGCAAGCACAGTGACTCACTTGCTAGCCGCACCTTTCGCAATACCACGACGGCTTCCCCCTCCGGCATTAAGTCGCAGATTACACAGTAGGACCTCAGCAGACGCAGGGACCACCGGGTCGCCTGACACAGAGCTTCAAGGGCCGCTGCTGAATGTCTGAGGTGCTGTATCCTCCTCAGCTTCACAGGAAACAAATCCGCGTGGAGTCCTGAACCGAGGACCACACCTACGCATTCCCGTCGATAGCGGTCGATGTAATTGAAAAAGTTGCACAACAGTATGCAATGCTCCTGACAAAGGCAGAGGCATCCTGCCACTGTCTGAATTATACCTGGCCCTGCGAGTCCTCCCAGTCTCCACATTGAATGTCCAGGAACTCTTGGTCCGTGCACCTGAAATGCTCTCGCCACTGGCCCAAGCACCGGAAACTGAGCAAAGGGGGCGACCACAGGTCTTCCACGTTCCACATTTCATTGTCCTGACAGCGGGAACACTGGGACTGTGAGCTCGGAAGGTCTGCGCTCACAGAGATCTGTCTCGAACTTTCTGAGGGCATCTGCACAGGAGACTGCAGTTCTTCATGGTTCTGTCGACATGACCACCTCCTCCCTCTCGTTGCTCTCCACCGACCATGCGAATGCGAGCCAATAGAGGTTGGGAACGATGAGGTTTGGCATGCGCGACAGCCATGCACAAAGCAGGGCAGCACCCAAGAGCCCTAAACACGGATCTTTCTGTCCCTAAGCCTTACGCCGTGAGTTTTTTGTCCGCTGTGCTGCTTCGGGAGCCTTGCAACAGGCTCGACCCTTGACCCCGATGTACTACATGCCGAAAAGATTCCATAAGTGTTGTACGACCTACTAAAAATCTACGATCATGTGGTTCATGTTCACCTTCATAGTCCCGACATCCTTTAAACGCGTGTCTCGTCGCTGGAGCTTGTCCATGTGTATTGGCCCCCGCCGAACCTAGCAAGCTCACAAATAACGCCTGTGGGCCATGAACCGTTGATGCAAGTTCGGCACTTAGCTCATGGGCCTCGAAACACCTCGAAGCCTCCTTCGACTCTCATCCCTCCATCCGCTCAATCGAATCCCCAGCCAGGGCCCAAAGACTCTGCGAGGCGGTACTGCGCGGAGGGATCGAAGGCAGCAAGGCAGAGTCACACCGTCAGACTGCCCGTGAATCTCTCTTCCATGCCCTTCCTACACATCCACAGGTGTGATGCCGAGACGGCAGCCTGAAGCGAGGGAATCATCGACACGTATCTTGCAGCCATTTCCTGGGTGCTCGGCCTACCTTTGAACTTAAATGGAACATCTTGCACTGCTGCATGGCTCGGTTCCTGTCCCAATAGCTTGGACTGAGGGGCGATTGCAAACGGATTTTCGGGCAGGATATCTGGTGGCTTCTGTGGCCGAATGAAGCGGCAGATCAGACACGAGCGACCATCAACATCCGTGCCCAATGCCAGTATACCTCAGATCATTGCAGATCTTCCTTGAGCCTTTGACTGAGCTACGAGCGTCTGGGCTCATCGAAATGGGAAAGGCCTGTTCAGAACATGGAGGGCCTGAGGGCGATCAAGCGACGTGAGTCACGCCGCGACTTGAGCAAATCGTGCCACTTCCTTGTCACAAACTCGTTTGCAAAAAAACATAGCACAGAAGCACTGTTGCAATATGTTCGGTAAACGATCCGAAATCCAAGCTTCTGGACATGTTTGAGCATCATGTTGGGCTCCTTTCCCAGGGTAATCTGAGGTTGCACTCCTTGCCACAAGCGTCGGGTACAACTCGTGAGAATGCCAAGCCAGTGGTGGAAGCTGCAAGCAGGGATCGTGTTGGATGCTCGAGCGGAGGGTCCACCGTGACCTCCGCAATCGTCGAAAGTCCAAGCTCTGTTTGGTTGGGAGAGTTTCTCAGGGCCTCCAGACCCAGGCACATCATCTTCGCGGCTTGGCTGGATGGCGGCGGCGGTGGAGCACCTGGGGCAAGCATGGCAAGCCTCCAGCCTCTGTGAGGGCTCCAAGCCCGACCTTCTGCTTGTACGGGTGCGGGCGGGCGCTGCTTCTCTGATTTGGGACGGTATCCGAAGAGCACCACGTGCCTGGCTTGGCGGCATGGCTCTGCCAGGACGCTGTGTCCGTGGGTCCCAAAGCAAACCGTACTCAAAGCATAGTCTGAGCGGCTGATCAACGGGAAAGTGTCCCTTAACGCTGCACTTGGCAGCATACAGAGTATCCCATGGCAAGACGAACTTGCCAAGGTGGCCTCGGCCGCACAGAATTCCAAAGGGCACTCCCATTCCTTGTAGTAACTCTTTAATCTTGCAACTCTCATCGCAACTCTGAGACTTCCGTTCTCCGCTCTTCCGCTCGTGCAACCCGATTGCGCAATTGAGTTCGAACTCGCACTTCCTGGCCACTTCCGGGCAGTCTCTGCGACAGTTCATCCTGAGAAGAGACAGTGAAGAGACTATCCGGTTGCAGCATGTTGCAGTTGCACACAAGACTCAAAAGGCGTCAATCGCAAACAACAAATTTAATGGTGCGGGCAGGAGTCGAAAACGTTTATGGTGAGCTCGCCGCTATATTTGATCCTTGTACTAATCACTCGTCATCAGGGTGAGTGCACAGGACAAGACGCACCGACCATGTGTTCCAAGTCCGTCCAAGTCCCCCGCAGATTCTCTTGGGTGAGCTCCTCTTTTCCGGCTATGCCAGCTGCGTGGAGGGGAAGCTCCAGAATCTGATTGATGTCCTGAGATGTCTTTCCAAGTGCGAGAAGACACGAGGGATGACCATCAACATCGAGTCTTGCGACGAAGCTGCTGGATCAGTAGATTGCTGTGCTCGCTCGGTCCGCTTGAACAGAAGATTTCCATGGAAGTCCTATTCGACATCTGTCGTCCAGAGTTAGTCTAGATTGCCAGAGCAGGCAATACATGGTCCTGAAGAGTCATCTCGATCACGATTTCTGGCAACTGCTGGGTTTGTATTCCAGCAGGGGTGGCCCCAAACCTCACAAAGAAGGGCCAGGAAGGCTCGCAGAGTCAAGTACATCATTCTGCGAATCTATAAGCTCAGGTGGTCACACCCCTTCCGATGAGCCAGCAAAGGGGCTGCCCATCTGTCGGGGCCACTGAAAGCCGCGTCCTTCCAAAAGTATGGACATGATGCAACGTCCCCTTGAGAGTAACTCAACGACGTGAAATATCGCAGAGGTCGCCTGCCCGTAATGCCATGCTGCCGTGAACTCTATCTGACTCTCTCTGAATCTAGCTGCTAACTCCCGCCTGGCCCAGCAATAGGAGCGCCGAATGTTTGCAAGCCTGGAACGCCTTGCAGGCTCGAGTTTGGCAGTGGACAGCGCTGAAGTTCTGAAGTGCCAACTTCCTTTTCACAACGCCTCCGAGCGGTGGAGGGGGTGCAGACTGCTGTGCTACTGCTTCTTGCTGCCAGCGCAGAGGGGCCTGTGACAGCAAGCTCATACGAGCCACAGCCCCGAATTCTACCCATGCACGATACCGTCGTTGAGGCCAACGCGTCGTAAACTTTGGCCAAGGAAATGTGAACCTGACCGCAGCGAAGCAAGTGGCAGCCGGTGGCATCCTCCGGCACCAGCAACTTGCCACCCAGGGGCCCATATGCTCTTCACGCTGCTTTCAAACCTCCTGCGCCCACCCGACGGCCGCAATGTGTGCTTGGGCTGAAACATCTTCTGGAAGCGCTCAAGAAGCCTCAAAAGATGGTCTACGACGAGTCGACGCCGTGCATTAGCAAGTACAGCAGCTTCTCTACGCCAAGCTGCTCAAGCAAGTTGCCTTCCTCTGCCTCCTCTCCATACTCGCGGACTATGCCTTGTGGGCTCAGCCGGCTCACAATCACAGCATGACCACACTGTAGTATACTTTAGTTACTATAACATACGATTATACACGATAATATCATAACTACTAACTATAATATACATAGTATACAATCATATACCCACCACCGATAACTCCCCTCTGCTGCGCAGATGCTCTTGTATGACATGTGGGTCTTCACCATCGCCATCTTGCGGGTTCGCTCCTCAATCCTCAATCTTTCGCTTGGGGCTTATACGAAGTTCACACGGTTTCCTAGGATTTCTAGAGAACCTCTGGTGTTTAGAGTTTACGTTAGAGTTGACAGGCTTTTCCTAGGGCTTCTAGAGAAGATAGGGTGTCTGGTGTGTACGGGGTTTTGGGTTTTAGGGCAGTTTAGGGGTCCGAACTCACATCTTGACTTCTATTTCAGCTGGGAATCCTCTTGCGAAAGTCCATCTGGTACCTTGGGCCGGCATGACTCTTCTTCAGAGGCCGAACCTGACCTAAACCCGAACCTCAAAGCTTCTGTTGAAGACAGGTTGCACGCTTTCCTTTTGCTTTCCGGCTTTCGTGTCAGATGCTTCCTGTTCCTGCTTTGCTTCCTTCTCCTGTCTCACCTCACGAAAATGAGCCAAGCATGGTTATCATTACTACTGATATTTCTTTTTTCTGTTGGACTGCTGCCATGTTACCACAAATCTGGTGACCGCCACTGTCATGATCAAGAAAATTACTGCTGTTTGGGCTCTTGCTGCCACTGTTGTTCTGAGTTGTGGTGCGTCGTCTCACAGCCCATGCACCGCTGCCGACACTGCTGGCCTCGGTTTCGAAGCCGGGAACCAAAAGCCGCTCACTGTCCATACCTGCACAACAGACGGTAAGAAGGTAACTACAGTAGACGATGTCGGTATACCTGCATACGCCCACTTAAGGATTATGTGCTGCCCGGCACTTGCGAAGGCATTTGTAGCTTCGGCCGCTCGGACTCTCCAGGCTCCAGGTGAAGTACGTTTCAAGGGTATTTTACTTCATCCATTCCGGTTGGCCACACCAAGTTTGTGGCATGCAGCAGGCATCACGAATCACGGGCTGTATTGGGAAGCTTGGGGGACCGTCGCCTGTCGCCAGCTTTGCCATGCCAGTGGCACGGCTGGGCGCTGGTGTAGGCTTTCGGGGTCTGGGGGCTCGCTTGCAATTCTCGTGTCGCAGCTGGCCTGCCCGTTCCACTCGCTGCAGTAACTTCTCCACTCGCAGGCCACGCAGCAGGCCAGCCTGGTCGCTCCCATCAACGCCCACAAGATAGCACAAGTACGGCTACCCGAACACACATTTTCACGAATATTCACGGAAGTCACTCCGCTTCCTGCGGGTCCTCGCTGCCGAGGCGGCGTCGACCTTACTGAGCTCTTAGCTGTCATTGCCCGGACATTCCCCGAGTACCGTCGGCAAATGCTCACACATGCTTCGAGGACTAGCGATGCCGGTCATCTCAAATAGTTTTTTGAAAGCTTGGTGAGACACAGAGGTGCGCGTCTTCAAACCGTGTTCCTTCTGGTCCCTTGGCATCTTCGCTTGTCATCTTTTGTCCAATCCACCATGCACGGAAGACATCCCTGCGCCTTCCCGCGAAATTCCGTAGACGCTGTCCCCACTTCCGGAGCCTGGCGCACTCACTTGGCTTCATACAGCATCCTGGTACCGCGCGGTCCTCACTGTCGATTCGCATCTTGTCCAGCTCTTCTTCGGGCTTGGGCTCCTCCTCAGGTTGCACGAAGGAGCCTTTTCTTTCAGGAAGAGCTGGCAAGAAAAGGTTGGCAAAGAGGCCTTCTGCGAGAGTGGAGATCGGGAGCCGAAGCATGGCCTCAGATCAGGGACACTTGAACGATCTTCACTGCACTACTGCACTCGCATCGCGGCTTCGGGCGTGCGGCAAACACTTCAAGTTTGCCACAGGCTGGCCTTCCAGCTGCGTCTTTACAACTTATAAAACTTGTATATCTTTTGTCTGCTTGGCTCTGTGGCTGCAGCAAGCGCCTTCTGCATTCAATGGAGCTGGTGGTGGCACGACATAATCACCTCGACCTGTGCTGTCCGAAAGAGGTCTTGCACAACACTCACAGACCCCTCGCATAGTAATCCCATAGAACATCATAGAACCCCCTGACAGAAACCATTGCAGTAAACTCGAATTCCCGCTCGTGGGACCTCCTCCAGGCCAGGAGACGCACACGGCCACTTCACCTTTGAAAGTCTGGGACCTAAGTCCAAAATCAGCTGAGGGGCTATAGCAGTCGTTCTAGCAACCTTTGTGGGGCACCTGTTGCATACTATGAGACAGAAGCAGGAGCAGCAATTCAGACTCTGCTCATGCTGCATGTCCTCTTGGTTTCAAGGCACGCAACCCGCCCCATTGTCGCAGCCAGATCAGCATGTGATGACGCATGCAATGAGCGCAGATGAGCACAGCGCGTAAGCGTTCTTTCGTTACATGCCAACATCTTCCTCTTGCAAGCCGATGCTTGTGGCAGCAACTACTTCACGCAGGCAGACATCCCTGAACTTCAGCAACTAATCCTTTTTTCGAAGAGTATGGCCTCGTCTTTGATCGTGTCAACTTGAGTGACATGCGTTGCCTGCTTCGATGTCTGCTATGCAAACGATGCAACACATGCATGTCGTCTTGAAGTGCCGTCTGCGCAACTTTGCTTCATGTTCTGCCACAGTGGATATGCAACTTTCGATGTTAGCTCCAAAAAATTCCCACCCTTTGAAGTTTATGGATGTGTCGGAGGTCTCGCAGCAGCAAGTGAAACGCCGAGATCCGTACAGCAGACCATCCTCCTCGCCGAGATCATCCATTCCTCGCGTTGGGATGTGCTGAGGCCGACTCCTCCGCCCCCGGCTCCCCACGGCTCCCGCGGCTGCGCACCTGGCCCAAAGAGGAGACGCTGCTCGAGAACCGCCGCATGCGTCCTGGGATGAAACTGAAAAGAAGACTTGCTGTAAAACTGTTCTCCGTGATCCAGCTCTGGCAAATTTTGACCCACACTGCGCCCCATCAACCGCCTGTTGGAGTGGCCAAAGCTGTTGCCCATAGAGCCCTGTGTCTTTGAGAAGCCATTTCATGTGTTTCCGGAATGAGACTTGAAGTTGAGCATCTGAAGCGCTGCGTGCACCAGCAGCACTCGTAGGTAGGAAGACAGACGTTCGCTACCGTCTTGCGAAGTCCAGTTCAGGCAAGTCTCACTCTTCTGGCCTCTGGGCTCGGAATGTCTAACTGAACCTTGCAGCCATGCAAAAGTATGACCAAGGCACTATCACTATCGAGACTCACGTGGATTCCGTCACACCCACCTCCCGAGCAGCGTGCCAACGAGGCCACCAACCTGCCAGATCCCGCGCAGGGTGGGAGGTCACGTGGAGATGCGTAGACCTGACAAAAAGGCCTCCTGCCGAAACGTAGACCAGCAGAGAGATGTTCTGGGGCATTACGTGCACTGCAAGGTTGAAGCCTTGGAAGCTTGCAAAATGAATGCCGCCGCCACCCTCCCTCCGATTGCAAGCCGTTTTGACTCGATAAGCGTGCGGCTATGCACGGGCCGAATGGAGTCAGGCACCCCTGGCAGAGTTCCAGGAACCTTGCAGGTAAGGCTCTGCCACAGAGATGACATCATGTGACCCGGCCTCTTCCAGCAAGGCTGCGGCTGAAGAAGTGCTGCCAGTGTCCCAACCTGTAAGGTCTGAAGATTTTGCAAGAAGTTCCATCTGACCCAAATTGGGAGCAAGCACCACAATACAGTATCTTGCCATGCAGTCGAGCAATTGCGGACCAGTGACTGATGGACATGGAGGGACTTCTCCCCACAACCCGGTCACTCACCCGGCACTCCACGCAAACTCGCACGCGGCTGGCAAGATGCCGGCGATCCAGCTCCTGCTACCGTGATGGTCGGGAGGATCTAGCTCATGCAATGCAGTCTAATTGAGCCTAGCATGTCTTGCCGGGATCCGATACCTCGCTTAGCTCTGCCCTTACAAAAAAACCTTGTCCTCCGCAGCCGCAGAGGCATCTGCATCGCCGACGATCCCATCGTAGGCACGTGACCGCAATGCCTCAGACGAGATATGACTCGTACGGATGCACCACAAGCTTCGTTGTTTCTGAGATCCGTCTATTTCTACCTCTCCCACAACCACCCCCTCGACGCGGCTCTGCCTGACAGAAGCCTTCAGCATCCTCGTCAACCTACCCAAACTATTTTAATTCAGTATATATGAGCTCTCGTGGAGGCCTTTGCGAATCTGCCTGCCCGGGGAAGCACACCCGAAGTAGATTGGAATTATGAAACTAGACGGAACTACGAATTCGAGTGAAAGCTTCCACCGTTTTCCCCGTGGGCATCTTGACATCACACCTATCCACATAGTTCGTCAGTCTACTAAATTATTAGTGTCTCCTTGGGAAGGCCTCCGGAAGCCTAAGCAGTTAGCTCGACCCACCGCAGCCACAAGAGACTCATCGCAGCAGCAAACTTGTTGAGAGTGATACGTGCAGGCCGGAAATCTCCGGCGTCGACTAGATTCGATGCAATACTATGTATACTGTATCTCCAGGCCATGCAGGAATCCAATAAACAGTCATGCTGGGCTGATACTGAGCTTGCCCAGCGGGGCTAGGACCAGCGGTCGCAGCAAAGACTTTCGGGCGGCGGACCAAAAGCCAAACGCATACAAAACGGGCCCTCCAAAGCCAAAATCGTCACAAAATTGCCTTTTTCGGGCAGCAAAACACCTTGCTTTGGCCAAATCCCGTGCTGCAATGACCGAAACACCACAGTCGGACAGAGCTTGTGCCGTCTTGTGCCGAGAAGTACCGGGGAGGGTTCCGGAGAGATCCGGAGAGTTTGGGGAGCTCCGGGAGAACTGGGGAGGTAGCAGAGAAGATGGCAGGGCTGTGAGGGCGTGTGAGGGCTTCAAGACAGGCTGTAACAGGCTTTGGAAGGTGAAATGGGTGACAAAACTGTTCTTGGCCGTAAAAATAGCCATTTCTGACAATGTTGGGCAGAACCGGGAAGCGAACTCTTACAGTTTTTTAGCGGCTTCGCCACCGCCTACGCCGACCACAACTGGCAGGAAAGCTGTTTTGAGCCGATTTGAGCCTATGGGCTGAGCTTTCCTCTAATTAAGTCTGCCCATTGAGCGCAAGCAGAACAGTTTTGAGGCTCTGCAGATATAGCAATGCAGCAACGCCTAGGGGCCTGCAAGTCGTGTCGAGCCTGTCACATGTCAGAATCATGCCACACATTGCAACACACATTCTATTTTCTGCCCATGGAGTGTCGTTTTGGGAAGGGTGTCGGGGAGTCGAGTCGGGCGACTTCACTCGAGGTATGAGGTATGAGACACTAAGGGGGTATTTTAGCGGCTTCGCCAGCGCCTGCGCCGGGCGGAATAGAACACGAAACGACCTGATTCTTTCTGGCTGCTCGAACATCCTTCTCTTGTCACCGAGACGACGCACAAAAGAAGACGGAGCTTGGCTGACGGTTCAGAAGGTTGGATAAAGGAAGCTTCCAGCTTCAGGTTAAGCATGAAACATCTTGGAACTCGAAACATTCAAATTAGCCGAGCTCATGGCTCTTTAGGTCGGGGCAGCGAATCAAAAGGAAACCTCGCAGACTTTCGATACTGAGGCTGACAGTGAGTGCCTGCCCGGCAAGGTCACAACAGGGTCTGTGTCGGAGGTGGCAAAAGGGGGTGGGAAGGCGAGGTTCCGGGCTTCGAAACGTGGCAGTGGCAAAATTGTGGCATGCAAAATAAGTTGGAAATAATCGCGCTTTGAATAACGATCACCTCCACCGACTGGTTGATTTCACTATCGGAGATGCAGCTAACACATTTGCAGACACCTCGGCAGACGTCATTTCCACGGTGGCTGAGAGTTCGAAGCGGTAGGATGGCTGGCCTTCATTCCCAGATCTTGCGCAAAAGAGACACGTCCCAAGAACGACGCAATTCGCCTGGCCCGCGCTTTGCCATGTCCCACTTGTTCTGAACTCGGTCCTGAGCTCTGGCAAGGGACGGTGCTTCTCTTCACTTCGAAAGACCTGTCCGACTGTTCTGGAGAGCCCTGGCTCTGGCAAGAAAGGATCTCGGCACTGACAGGCGAATCCCGAAAAGCTGAGACATGAGCACGCTCTTGCTCAGCTGCGAAACCTGCCGCGGACTTCTACTGGCCGCCACTGCTACTGGCACCATACGAACGGCTCGTTTGCTGCGGGCGGCAAACGGAAAGATACGTCTGCTCAGCAGTGGGAACGAAGCTGCTCCACCTTGTAGATAGCTGCTCTCCTCTATCTCCGCATCCACATTCCGCGCCTTCGGCCAAGGCTCCCTACACATGTCGGTCTGCAGGCAGCTATGTAGTAAACTGAAAAGCCTATGTTAGACCTGGCCCAAGAATTCTCAAAACGTCGTACAGCCAAATATGTTTGCCAAGCAGCCCTTCGTTCAGTGTCGGCCGAGAGGTCATGCTCCTAGAATAAAAGCGGTCAAAGGTTCTCCCTTTCCCCTCAGGGCCCCTCGAGCAAACTCTGTCTCCTCCCCAGTGCAACATGGGGACACTTCCCCCCGCTCCACTCCAAAAAACTGGATTTGGTTTCCAAGGTACCACGACTGCGAGGCTTTGACCCTGTGGAGAGTCAGGGCACCCTCAGTCTAACCACCATCGCTTCCCCCCCACGCAGAGGATGCGAAGCGTTTACAACTTTTTGGCTGGGTTTTTTTGGCTTAATTATATCTTTCTCCACACATAAGAAGGAACACGAAGGAAAAGTATCGCTCGTAGCTGTTCTGGCCCTTATGGCCCGCATCTTGCGTTCCCTTCTCTTTTTGGATCTCGGCCCTCGATGGAGGAGCTCCTGAGGCTGCGCTGTCAGGCGCCACGGGGTGGAGACGAAGCCGAAATCCTGTGACACAGGGGCATAGGCTTTAGTTGCCTCAGTTGTATTGTTATATTATATTGTATCTTATATCTTCACATGTTTGAGTCATGTTTGATTGTATATCTGTTGATACAGGCATAATATGTACCACTCAATCAAAATTACCATCAATGAATCAACGACTGGAGCACTGCCCAGCCTGTCGCACTTGTCGCAGTTCCCGCCATTTGCCGTAGAGATTCTTGCAGACTTGCTCGAAAAAGGCTTCCTTCTCGTCTCGCCTTCGGACAATGAGAAGCCGACAGTTTGCAGTACGGTCCGCATGGCGAGAGCGGTCTGCATGCCTGGCACGCACTTTCTTCCTTTCCTGCCAGAAAAGCTGGAGATCAAGCGCCACCTAGTATCAGAGATCCCCTGACGCCTGGAGGTTGCTCCGGTAGGCTTCTCTGGCTGCCTGCACGGCCTGGGAGGCCTGCGTGGCCTGCGCATCGCTGGGGAGCGCTTCGGCCTTGGAAAACAGCTGAAGCCCAGACGAGTGAGAAAACCTGCCATGTCAGTGTCAGCGCCAGGTGCCGGTCCTCGAACAAAGCGGTGCGCAATGCTTTGCCGCGCTCCACGAGCATGTCCAAACCTTACCAGGCTTCAACATACTTCAACTGACAAGCTGGAGCGGTGCCGAGCTCTGAGACTGATGCGACTGTCAAGCTGCGCCACGACATGACTCTCCATCTCTTTCTGGTACCGGAGGAAGAGCTCCTGTGGCGAGGCAGATGACACTGGCGAATCCAAGACGAAGATCATGCGGCCTGGAGTTCACCTGCAACCCGTGTCTCGCGACTGTCCAAGGCATCCAGAGAACTGGCCCTTCTTGCCTTGACTTGAGTCGCATGGTCGCAAATGGCACCCTGAGAATCCCACACTCACCCAAAGCTTGCTGAGGTGATGTCCAGGTCTCGGGATGCCAGCGGAGTTTGAAACAGCGAGATTCGGCTTACGTCCAGGCCTGCGCTTTGTGATTTGTTGGGCCAACTGGCTCTGCCACGACAAGCTTGCAGTTTTTGCATCCGGGATACGCAGCTCGTAGAGATGACTGGCCACCAGATGCCGCCTACAGCTGTGACTGCAGCAGGCAGGGCTCGCACGGGCTTGCCGGAGAAGGCTGTCCCAAAAGGGGCGCCTTTTCGACTTCACTTGCGATCTGAAGCGCAGGCCCAACCTTGGCAAGTAAGTTTCAGGCTCGAAATGGCTCGAGGGCCACAAGTTGCAGAAAAGCTATCATGCGAACATGCGGAGTCGCCGACTTATTCAGCCAGTAGACTTCCTGCACGACTTACTTTGAGGTGGAACCGTCAGGGGTCGTAGCCTGCTGCCAGTCCTCCAGAGGGGCAAGCCGGGGTGCGCAAAGACCCGAGCCCAGCATCTCGCGATCTTCATCCGAGCGCAACTTAGTCGCAAGGGTCACCAAAGGACAGAGCCTTTCACCAAGTGCCATTCTGGTTCGAAAGGGTACAGTGGGTTTGGCCGAGGGCGCTGCTTCTTGTGCGCGCTCATCCAAGGTCGGCCCCGGCTTGGCAAGGACAGACCGCTCGAGCCTGGGCTTCCAGCCAGGAGGCCGATCTCACTTACACAATGCAACTCAGTACGAGTCTTCGCCTGGATTCGGGGCGCTGGCTGGAGATACAGCCGCTCCCGGTTCCACGGCTCAGTCACGTGCGCGCCAAAAGCAGCACGGAAGAGCCCATCCTGGGAGGGAATCCATGGCAGAGAGCTCCTAGGGTGCGTCGCAGCGCTCCTCTTGCACCACCCAGCTCTGAACATCGGCACTGGAGCTCGGAAAGCCTGTCATCTTCTTGCCTTTCCACACATTTGGCAAACGGAACTCTGCTGCCTTGACCCATCATCTCCTGTGCTTCCAGAAACATCCTCAGTCTGCTCCGGCTGAGCATTGACAGAGGGCTCTGGTACACTGCAGTGGCCTGGAGATTGAGGCCGGAACGGCTCCAGCAAGGCCTCCCGCAGGTGTCGATAAGCTGCAGCAAAACAAGTGCCGCCTAGATGAACGATTTCAAAGCCGATTGTTAAAAGGTTTCTGCGGCAATTTTGCCTCGGGGTCTGTCAGCACAGCCAGAGAACGCCAAAGAAGGGCCTGAAGTCTCAGAGCCTCGCAGCTTCATGAGCCTACTGCACCATGCAGTGCTTTGCCTTGGTTTCCGATAGCTTTGCCAAGTGTCACGCCAGGCGCTGTGCTCCTGACGTCACCACCAACAGTAAAGGTCGAAGCCACGACCGCTCCTGCAAACCGCAGCAAACCCGAAGATCCGCTCGACAGCATTGAATTGGAATCATAATAATAATAACAACTGTTATTACTATTGTCATAAACTTCATATTAAATTATACATATATATATATATATATTTATTTATTTATGTATTTATATTTATATTTTCTTCCAACCCTCTCCGACGCCCGCACTCGGCAGGTCAGGGCATTTATATATATATATACATATATATATATATATTGTTTTCTTTTTTAATTCATTTATATGTTTATTTAATTATTTATTTATTATTTATTTATTTATGTAGAGGGTGCAACGGGCCCTCGCATGCAAAAGGCAGCTTTCGGTGGCCTGCGCCACGAGCGTGGCGAGACTCTTGATCTCCACGGCTTGAGGTGCCGTGCTGTCCTCGGTCCAGCTAGGCAGCAACACATCAGGCCACTGCCTTTGCTGTTTCTCTTGTGTGAATTTCGTCGCGAACTATCGGCCTCCCTCTGCGACGCCAATGCTGCGGCCCTCTTGCGCCGAAGTGTCTGCCATGGGTTGACATCAAGGTCATGGGAGGAGAGTATTCCAAGAATGCTTGCCTCGAGAAACTGATTTCGACGCAAGAGATTTGCAGCCTGGATCAATTCACACATTGTCACATCTTGATGTGGAGAAGCGACCAAGAAACATGTCAGGCATGCATCAGCCCATCGCGCATCAGTTCTTCACGCTGCCGTGCAACGCGAGATTCTCGTACGGAAGTGAGACGCTTCCACAGTGAAACTGCAAACCACGAATGAGGCCACAAGACTACCTGCCACCATGCCGTCATGCGGCACATGGCAATGAATTTCCCTAGAAACAGACATTGCTCTCATGTCGGGCTGTTGGTTTAACCTAAGATGTAGCAGCAAGGGCAGCAAGGGCCAATGGCTAAAGACGGGCTGTGTCTTCGCCTTCGGACAATCGAATCGACGGGCAGCAAAGCCATCGGCCGCGTTCTGCATCTCCTGCAAAGGAGAAAACGACCAGCTGGCGCTCAAGCTACTGGGCTCAGTTCTGCAAGAGCCCGTCCTGCCCGGCAAAGTTTCCGGTCCCGGGATAGCCGTAAGGTGCGTGCGGCGGGTACGGCGCTGTACCCTCTGTCCCTTTCCATATGTCCTGGACTGCAGGTCTCGATTCCGACTGTCGGCTCAATGCAGTGCGAGACCAATCTGCAGCCAGGCACGAGCTTCGGCTTGGTGATGCCCTGCTCTTCGTCCATCCGCTTTGCAGGTACGGCCTGTCCGCCCGCGAAAATCGGCTTGAGAAGTCCTCCGTTCCGCTCCTTGGTTGCAGTGTCACCGCGGTTGCGCAGCCAAGCAGAGCCAAAAATCGATTGATCCGCGCTGCATGCTCCTTGAAGAGCTCCCACCCGAAGCTGGCAGCCAGAAAGTCAGTCAGTGGAAGGGCAAGCAGGACTGCAACCTTGCAAAAGCTGCTGCCGACACAGTCAACGTCTCAGGGGCCTGTCAATTTCTAGTCTGCAAGGACTTTCACACATTTGTCCGAGTTGCTCTGACGAAGTCTAGCTTGAAGGTGTTCACGACTGCACCCTTAGTCGTTTTCCATGGCTCCCTCCCTTTCCGCGTGCGCAGGCTGTTCGATAGCAGAAGAGGCTCCGTAAGGGCACCGAAGAAGTCGTATATGAAAAGGAGACCGCTCGCTAGGCCCCACAGGCTGGTCAGAGTGATGTCCATGCCTTTTTTGGCACAGTACCATCCAATAAACGCCTCAGCTTTCTCTCAACACTGCATCACGACTGGTCGCGTGCACGTGGCCCAGTGCAAAACTGCAGGCCGAGCATCGACGACTCCCATCAAGAAACCTGGAGTCACTGCTGCTGTGGGGGCACCATCGACACTTGCATATCTGTCTCTGCACCGTCCCACCTCCGAGGGTGTCGAAAAGGTAGATCAGGCGAGCAACTGTCAGAAGGGCCCTGAGCTGAGCACACACACACACAGAGAGTCACATGGCACAGATTCGTCACGGCCTCGAACTAATGAACTATTTCTCAAAGTCGTCGTGCAGCAGAAGCGCTGCACGAACACAATGCCGCAAAGCCAGAACATCTGTTCTCGCGTTCCAGTCCCCTGCAACATGGCCGCATTCAATTCACGCAGACTTTGCGTTGAGTCGTACCCAACCTTGCCGAACTGAACCGGATAGTGCAAGAACTCCATCTTCTCAGTTTCGCCCGCACCTGTCAAGCAGAGGTCGCAGGGTGCAGTTAGTGACGTTCTGGCTGCGCAGGAATCAGTCCAGCGCCTGTGAGAGTCCAGGTTCGATATGCGGTTACCTCACGGATAGCGTGAGACTTTGAGATCCTACCAACCGCAGACCCCGCAAACTACCCGGACTCATGCATTCATGCTCTGCCGCGGTACAAAGGAAGGTGTTACCCTGGAGTGTGGAGTGTTAATCACATCCAGGGGCACCGCTTGAGCCACAACAGCGAGGCAAGCAAAGGTGGATGCCATCTTAGGACTTGCCTCACAACAGACCGGAAGCATAGCACGTCGGCCTGGATGCCCTTGGGAGCCTGGCTCAAAAGACTCTCGCACGGAGCCTTCGTCTCCCTCTTCCTGCGGCCTCGTCTGGAGCAGGGGGAGGCCGAGGACCTGGTGGCGTCTCATTCGGAGAGTTTTTGGATACTCCGCCCGCTCCGACCCCCGCCCGTCCTTCTACCTGAAGGCTTGCCGGGTCCTGCTGCTTGACTAGCCACGGTATGCGAGTGCCACCTGTCAGACTTCTCGTCCCAGGGACCTCCCTAACTGCAGCCGCGCACGGAGCCTTGATTGGTCTCTGGTGGTCCCTGCACGAAGCCCTGGCCCTGGCCCACCATGCGGTCTGGGTATCCTGCCAGTAGAGCGGGGAGCAACACCCTCCGTCACCCTCCGCCCGAGGACTCCCGCGCCTCCCACTCCTTCTCCGATCATGCGCCGTCCACCGGCCAACAGCTGGGAACCTCAGCTGCCAGGCGGCAGCTGAAGAGGGCGCGCACTGGCAAGCTTTGCTTCGGCCGGGCAGCCCATCATGTTCATGCTGCTGGAGAGGCCTGCAAATGGAGTGGATCGCCTGAAGAAGGCGATCGCGAAATATCCGTACACCAGAAGTTAGTAACAGAGTTGATGGTGTTGTGAGCCTGTTCGCAGCAGCCCCAAGCCGATGCGTCTGAAACGAAGGTGGGGGTGGATCCATGGACCAACCTGTTTTGCCATGACCGAGATCGACGTTACTACTTGAGGGGCACATCCTTCACTTGTGGATGCACCTGAACCGTGCATTTGTCCACCGGCATGGTCTTGACCGAGTGCCGGAGCACCTGTGCACAGCGGCCACTTCTGTGGCATCCGGATGAATTGAGCTATTCGCCCTCGCTTTCTGAGCACCACGCCGAATCCAGTCCCTGGAGGTTGCCACGTGGCCTCCAAAAAATCGGCTGCAAGGCCAGTGAAAGCCCTTAAAAACCCATTCCCTGCCTGCTCGCTTATCGGCTGCAGACTTGACGATCTCGGGGCGAACATGCTGGGCTGGACCTCACAAGTCTCTCGTTCGACATCATTTTGCAGGCTTCTGGAGGGATTTTCAGGCTCAAGTCGCAGCACTGGCACCCTCACTTGGAGTGCGAATCGTCATCGCCAGGGTTCGTTCCTCTCGGCTGCATCTCGCTCTTCCGTCACCCGTGAATCCGAAATTTGCGACCATCTCCACAGCTGCTTTTGGGCTAAATTGCTTCGGGGCTGTGACATATTTGAGCTGACTGTGGAAGACGGCATGCCAAAACATACGCCAGCTTGCCATTGTCACAAAGATGGTTTGCGAGATGGGAAGAACAATGGGGTACGTAAGCACGAGGATGGCCCACCTCCACCATTCCATGGGGACCATGATGTCGCGTCGGTGACCCAGAATGTACTTTTGCATGAAGGCCTCGCGCCCGAAGAACTTCACCCATCCGTAGCAGAACGACAAAATGCAGCCAGCCAGCACCAGAGATTGTGCTCTCGGCCCCAGATCCATGAGTGCGCGCCAGCTCTGTGGGAAGCAGAAAATGAACCACGACGGAATCGGGGCCTTCAGGTGGTTCTCCGCTGTGATTCCCAGCATTCGGTACCATACCCGCCATCGGAGCACTGGGAAAAGGGAAATCATCCAAGCAACTTCCTCCACACCCCACATGTGTCGCTTCGCCTGGACCCATCGGTCCTTGAAACCGGTCACCGAATCATTCATGATGAGGCTCCAAACGGTGACAACGCAGTCGGCTGGTGCACCGGTGTATGCGATGGCTTTCAGCGTGGTGTGCAGATCTTCGGACGTGTTGTCCGGATCCCAGTAGTTCAGTTCATGAGCAAATCCCAGCATCATGCTATAGTTTGACTGACAGGGCTGCATGGTTAGGTGGTTGAATGTCGCCCTCTGGCAGCGGTTAATCTCGTGGCACTGCACCAAAAGATTGCACTCTGCAAGGTTCCGCACCGTGTTGATCGGCGAATCGAACAGCACACGGCGGCCGTCCGGCGTGCGCCAAAACTCCGACTCAACCTGCTCGAGAAACACACGGTCGAAGTAGGAATCAGCATCTGCCACTGTAACCATGACCTTGAAGGGGTCCAAGCCCATGTCCAGCACGCGGCTGTAGAGCTGACGGACCGCAAAGTTTTCGTTGCTTGACTTGCCGGCAACCTCTCCAGGCTGGAGCTCGTGACGGGTGCACATGAAACCAAAGAAGGATTTTTCTGCCGCTTTCAGGCTCAGAAAAGTCTCTTCCGCTTCGGCATCCCGAGCCTCCTGCGCCAAGACCACAATCGTGTTGTGTGCCAGGGTCTGCTCTTGGAGCGAGGCCACAGTGGCCGCCAATACATCCAGCGGCTCCTTGTATTCTGTAATGACCACCGCATGAGTCAGCAAAGGCCTGTCAGTGGGCAGTTCTGCCCTCTGTCGGCCGCGGCACAGCTTTCTCATCACCACGACTTCCCGACCCAGATCGTAGACAACAGCACCCGCGATGGGGGTCAGGATCACAAACAGCATCAGATGAGACGCGAGGCACTTTTCCAGAATTGCCTCCGCAGTGCCGAAGAGCGATGGAGATGCTATCGGCACGAGAACGATGACAAAAAATGCTATGAAGGCTAGCTGGCCCAAGGGGACGAGGATGAGATACTTCAGCCAAGGACGCCCGGCCTCCTGGCTCGGCAAAGTCCTCCAAATGGGCGTGTCCAAGAGGCTCTCCAGCGATTCACGCATCAAAAGCGATGGCAGCTGCTCCCAAGGCTGGTGGAGCACAAGGGTCACAGCCGCAGCAAGAAACACCGCACCACTGAATCCGCGCCAAGTCTCGACGCTTCCATGAAGCTAAAATTCACAAACCACCAGCAGTGAACATTGATGCGCCTAGGCCTAATCCATGAACCGTGACCAGCTCTAGCTTTACCCCGGTTTTGTTCGCAATACACGCTGTGTCCCCTCATGTAGCTTGTGCCTGGCACCTCAGCTGCACACAAAAAGGATGTGTGCCATGATCTCGTCAGGCAGGTTTCCCTTCTGTTTGCCCATCATGCAAACTCCCCAACTTGCTGAGATTGACCCCTGTCATGTTAGCCATGGCTGGTTGTGGGCTGTGTCGAGCTCCCAAAGACAAGGAGGCTTACCCTGGTGTTGCTTGGAATGCACGCCAGCTGTGGTTCAACAGTTCGCTCTGTAGCCTGTTCTTAGCAGCCCCCAGATGTGTCAGGGCCTCCAAGGCCACGGAGGCCCAATTCTAGTCGGAAGGCCGCTAGGGATGACATATCTTTTGCAAAGTATCAGCTGCTGGCGCTACCCCGGCGGAATCCTACGGTCTTCGGCCGCTGCTCGGCCCCGAGAGTCACAGCTCCAGCTTCTGAGGCTCTGGCACGCTCACTTCGCGCGGAAATGCTACGTCCAAGGGCTGCAAGCTGCTGTGCAAACGACGGAGCTACCTCTGCCAGAAGAGCATCTTGTCACGGCTGGCAGGTGGGCTCGGCGAGTGTTGTATTTTCACATACATATTTATGTACACTGCAGGGGCACGACATGTCAGAATGCATCAAGCTCCTTAGCCTGCAGGAACACGGGAGGACTGACAGACACGTTTTTCTCCAGCAACTCCCCTAGCGGTTGAAAATCCAGGAACTCCTCTTTACGAGCGTGGCGTCATCCACATCGAAGCCTGGAATACATCCCGTTCCACAGGCCCCCTCCTCCTCTTCACGTTCCATGTCTTGACGCATCTCCGCGCCTGATAGAGCCCCACCAGTCCATCCAAGAGCTAGCAGCGCTATCGATCCCAGCAAATATTTCCGTAGCCTTGCCATAGCCGGTGCTGTGGTGTACTCGCCTAAGAGCTTGTCTCGCTGACGCTCATCTTCCGGTTTAACCCGCACCTCCGAATAGTAGCCTCCGTCCCCGGGTCCGAAGTTCCGCTGGCTTTTTTGATCTCTGCTGTCTTCCACGATGTAAGACTTTGCCAGGAGATTCTTGTTCAAGGGGTCCAGAAGGCCACCAATGCGCAGAAGAAGAAGGAAAGTAAAGAAGAACGCAAGTGCGATGGCATAGAAGAAGGATGCTATCATGTTTTGGAAAATGATTCCATCCTCATCTGCGGGTGGAAAAACAACCGTGGTCAACAAGAGTGCGGGCAAGAATGCGGTGGCAGAGCATGCCAGCACACGCGTTGCGAACTCGCCGTCTTCTAAGAAGCTCCAAGAGCCAATCGGATCCTCTTGCACCCGGCGGTATTCGACGATAGGGTCAAACTCTGTCTCTTCTCGCTTCTTCCGCCTGGCTCGCCGTAGCACTCTCGCTAAGATCTGCGAGGATGCAGAGCGCCGAGCAGAGTTCCACTTCAAGGCAACGAAGACTGAAGTGGCCAGCGCTACGTAGCATCGGCCTCAGGATAATCGCAGCCACATCTGAACAGATCTGAACAGATATGGGCCTTGAAGAGGTGATGCCGGGTCGGCTTGACCAGCACGGCACGCTCGATGAGCCTGCAAGGAAAGCAACTGGTAGAATGGTAGAAGTCTGCCCGCAGCATTAGCCAAAGCTGACAGCTGGCAACTTGTGGCCTCCACTGGTCTCGGGACCAAGCGAAGCGACACTGGCGCAGGGCCTCGACTCGCATCCCGTCTCTGAACTCCGTCGGCCCCTTCTGAGGCTGCGACCCTGCATGGCCAGAGTGGGAGAGCTCATCTTCTTCGATCCCAGAAGCTGCAAGGTTAGCTCACGCCCAGGCATGTGCATGGAAGTGAAGGCGATACTTGATGACTCAAGCCACAACAGCTCTTGCTGGCGCTCTTATTTCGGCCGTTTAGCCTTCAGGTGTGCGTTGCAGGGCTGCAATTCACAGCTTGAATTTTTGTGAAGCGGACTGGCGAGGCGTCCCAAAGCTTCTCACAGCACTCAGTAGAGATGATTTGGCATGGTCAGCTTACGAGCCAGTCCGGATGCAAACGACACGCAACAAAGTGACACCAAATGTACATGGCATGGCAATGCATGCAGAACGAACCCCAGCCTTTTTATGGCTCCTTGACCGACACGCTACGGCTTGTTACGCTGGTCCTAAAGACACGGCTGGGTTCCGACCTTCAGGCTTGCGAGGGGCGCTTGCGAGCATGCCAGCTAGGCCCAGCTGTGGCAGCTAGGCATTTCCAGACCTCAGTGCCCTGTGACATACCTTAGCAAAGCTGGGAAGCAAACAGAACCGACTTGACAAGAGAGTCCTGGGAAGCGGCGGGACCGCACTTTCCTTGGCCTTGCCGGCCAGTTGACCTTCGCTCAGCTCTACTTTCCGGAGTTTGCGATGGCTCGCAGCTACTGAGCCGAGCTGACCGGGGCTCATGCCAAATTCCTGCGTGACTTTTTGGCCTTTTGGGAGATTGCCCGCCTGCGAGCAGGGACTGTTCCACTCTCAACGATGCGCTGTCCTCCCGAACCTCAGGACCGTAAAAGTCCAGAGTGCTCTTGCACCAAGCCTGACATCGAACGATTGTGTGCTCGTGGCTCCACCATGCCGTAGATTCCAAGCACCGCACAGTCGTGGAAGCAGATGTTGAGATCATCTGCAGCAATGTGCACATGCAGCCGCCAAGCATCCGTCTCGATTCACCCCGTCCTTTTGCGGCGTATGCCTTCTGAGTCCCCGTCCGCTGCAACTGCCTGTTCCAACTCCGACTGAATGCTGCCGGCCTTGCTAGGAGCTCAGAAGTGCAGCAGACATGTATTCATGGGGAGTGCATCCAGGAGCTCAGCATTGTCGTGCAGCTTGTGCATAACTACCTCAACCGTCAACGTGCTGAAACAACGACAAAGAGGCGGAGACGGCTGGGCTGCAGCTCACTCAGACGCTCGCTGCACCATCTTGTGTCTTGGAAGTGTACAGCACATCAAACTCTTTTGATGTTGTTCCACGTTGCTCCTGGAAGGTGACGTGCCCCAGAGATGTTTTGCACCAGCGAAGGCCGGGGGAATTGTTGCCAAATTCAGAGGAGATCGCTGAAAACGCCGCACCTGCGACCCTGCGACTCTGACTGTGACCCCCAGCTGCTGCGAGAGGGTGGTAGAGAAAGCCTTGCCCACCTCCATACGAGTCTCCAACAGGCATAGGAGACATGTGTCTGTGGCAGGCACCTTCTCACTCAATCCAGGTGGGACACTGTCCCCCTTCACCTGGCGACCACAAAGCTCCAGAGTGCGCAGATTCTCTGTGTGCTTCCCGTGGCCCGCACACTGAGAATGCACTTTCCATGAACAATTGCAGGAAGGTTGTACTTTGAGCTCTCTTCTTTGGACCTGGAAGCCACAGCATGGACCGCCACACCAGCAATGACAAGGTGCTGGGACTCGAGCAATACGTGCTGGGAAGAATCGGATCTGCCAGCCAGCATCTCAAGAGCTGCCCTGCAGCCGATCCCCGCAATGCAAGGAATGATCGAACACAGCCGCAGCTGCAACTGGGGATCGAACAGTGTGAGCGGTGGCTGGCCAGTCCCGGCTAGCTCATCGAAGTAGGCCTGGGTCAACCACAGCAGGACCGTCGGAGCATGTCGGAGCTCTCAGGCAGGTCGTGGCTGCAGGGTCTCCTGCTGAATACCTCTCCGCAGATGACCCCTTGTCCAAGAGCTTTCCAAGTCTCCCGAACTCCTGAGCTGAGCACAGAAGCATGCAGGATGTGCCGTGCCACGACCAGTCTCAAACATGTTCGCTGCCGGCACAAGCCGAGCTTCGTCCCGCGAAAGCTGACCATCGTTGTTGAAATCAGCATCACAGAACCTGCATGCAGCATGTGCCCTAGCGAACTCCTGAGTACAAGTAGCGATGCCCAGCACAAGGGCGCACAGGTTGCGCAGCGACTTCACGGATGAAAGCTGCTCCCGCAGTTCTTGCTGCGATAGGAAGCACCTGCATGGCTAAGCTTGCCGAACGATGCGGCAAAGCGGCAAACAAGTTGTGCAGCTTCGGCATGCCCGGGCACTCTTGGCTGCTGATAAAGCCATTGTGGTCCGCGTCAATCTTGTTGAACAAGGCCTTGGTTTCGGAGTGGCAAACTAAAGCCATCTTACAACCCTTTGTTCCTCATGTAAACCCCAAAACCCGAAAAGTCGTAAACCCTAAACCTTTCAACCCTTAATTCCCAAAGCCCTACATCCTAAATTGTGGGACTTCCGGACCTCTGGCCTGTAGCTGGGCTCCGGGCGCTGGCGGTTTCACCCTTGGCTCAAAGTGAGCGGCACTTCTGCTAGCAGCCCGCAACAGCTCGTGTTGACCGCAGCACTAGAGTTTCAGGATTTGTTTTGCCTCCTGCATTGCTGAACGAGTCGCTAGGCAGGTAAGATAAGAAGATACTCGTCAATTCAGACTTGCATCAAGGTTTCCAATAAGACCGTCAAATTGAAACACTGCGTACACGGCGAAAAACCACACCGTCATGATGACATCCCTGTCCACACAGACTGCAGGGCATGCATCATAAATTACAAATTGGCGGCGCATGCCGTGTAATTCCAACTCATTTGACTCGTCTCATGGAGACTCACGGAGGCCTTGCAGCATCAGCATCAACTGCCATGCACATTTGGTTGTGCGCGGTTTCCGGGTTCAGTGCTCAGGGCTTTAGGGGTACACCGTAGCACTGTGTTCCCGTTCCCGTATTACTTTGCAGCATCTGTCGGCAGACTGGACGGAAGTCCACGAAGGCGAACAGACAAGGTATTCGCAAGGCTCTGACACTCCCATACGTATATGTACACATTCATACACACACACACACGGGCAGACATGCAAGTATGTATGCAAGTATGCAGGGCCCGAATTGCCCCCGACAGCTGGGGGAAGATCGCAGAGCCCCAGAACCGCAGCCATGACCCCACGGGGTAGGCGACAACAGCTGCCAAATGGAGATGGCAACGATTATGACACTGGCTTCCACAAGCTTCCGGGCCCCACACCACTGTTGCAGATAGATGCTGGCAGATGTACCTGCCGGCATCTCGGCGGCAAGGTGGATCCCCATCCAATGGACGATGAGCCTTTGCAGAAGGCCCGGTCACATTTTCTTCCACCAGGACAACTCTCGGTGTCAAAAATTCCCTGGAACGGCCGTAGTACGTCGGTAAGGAGCTCACGTCCATGGGGCTCTACCAGGCTCGATTCCTGGACTCCATCCCGGTGCTACGCGGCAGTGCGAGTGGCGATACCAGGAGCTGGCGAAGAATCTGATGCGAGACCTCACTGCTACCGGGTTAGGTGGCTGCGCCCCGATACTGCCAACACTTGGGGTAAGCCATACCACGAGGGAGGTGTCGCCAGCCAGGTTGCCCCACCATGCCAGGAGCTACGCCGATGGTGCCTCGTGGGACTGGCTACGTGAGCGGATGCTGGAGCTCGTCCTCCCCAGGGTGGGTTCGGAGCGACCGCTACTTCCTTAGGCGGACTGAAATCTACCGTGAGATCGTTGGATGGCTTCGAGCTCGAGGTGATATCAGACCAGAAGATTGTCATCTTGGTGGTGTCCACGTGCCGGCTGGGAGCATATCCGGCCAGCATACAGACCCGGCTGAAACTCCAGGTCTCCAGATCTGCCATTGCTTGGGCTGGCAGGTATGACGTTCTGCGTTTTCAGCCTGGGCGACTCCACTTACAGCCAGTTCTGCGTGGCCGCTGCCGGCTTCGACACCGGCTTTAAAGTTCTCTGGGCCCCGGCTTTGCCGCTGGGCCAGGACATTCCTGCGCCTTCCTATCGCGTGAATGCATCATCAGGCGGCTTGGCAAAGCCACCATCGGCGATGTTGACATCATCACACCCGGTGCCAACAGACTCGCGCTACAACATGCTGACAGGTGATGGTAAGTACGATCGTGACATGCGGCATTATGAATCTAGTATTGAAGGCACTAACGTTGCTTACAAGACAGGCGAGCGCCTTAACATCTGGCCCCGCCGCCCGGAAGACAAGGTCCTGGAGTTCTGCCGTATGTCGACTTCGACTCACACGTGCGTATATACGCGGTCACTGTATGCAGCAGCACGTCTGAGGCGGTGATGTTTAATTTTCCATTGTGAGGGACCTACCCTATAGTTGGCCTCCCCTGTTCCCTGAAGGAATAGGCTCAAGGTACAAGTGTGAACTCGTTTTCGGGTTGTCGTTGAGGATTTCCTGCACCTGTACATTGCATTTCAGCTGGTGTTTTTCGCCATTGTGGCTCCGATGTTATTCGAAGTTTTGTCTGGTGGGTTAGATGGCTGCAGAGCGGACGGTTTGTTGTGCCGGTTAAATCCCCTCCGCCATTCCCACATGCTGAATGCAAACTGGGTTGCACCTTGTATGACATGATTCATCCTGCGAGGCCAGATTTCTGCTCCAGCCAGCAAGTTTAATTAGGTGCACGCTACAGGGGCTGCGCCCGAACATGGACTCTGTACCCCAAACGAGTGAAAATGTATGTATGCGTGTGTGCGTGTGTTCATTTATGTGTTTACACACGCACACACACACACACACGGGTGTATGTATGTATGTATGTATGTATATATATATGCACTAACCGCAGGAAACCTGACAAAAAACAATACGTGTATGTGCTAGTGTATCTATGTATGTACTTAACGTACGTAGTATGTATACATACACATATATATATATATATGTATGTATGTATGTATGTATGTATGTATGTATATATATATATACCCTACACCCTACACCCTACACCCTAAACCCTAAACCTTACAGTGGCCCTACAGTGGCCCTACAGATTCACGTTCTTCCCTTTTTTCCCCCAAGGAGCCCCCAGGAGCGGCTCGAAGGCTCCGATGGCCGCTTGGAAGGCGCTCGGCGAGATGTCGCCCTGCGTTGCCCCATACATTGTGGGTCTCTTTTGGGGTTCCTTTAAAGGGATCTATAAGGGTTTCTATAGGGATTCTAAAAGGGTAGTATATGGATAGTTCTCTATATTGGGGTCCCTTTTAGGGGTCCTTTTTATAAGGGTTTAGGGTTTAGGGTAGTTTTTAAAGGAAACTACAGGTGGGGAATTTAGGGTGTATAGGGCTTCTATAAGGCTTCGTCCCGGGTAGTTTTCTGAATTTCGGGTCCCTTCTAGGGGTTATGTTTTAAGAAGGGTGCCATACTTATTTTGGGGGGCCCAAAAAGGGGCCTCTAGTTTGGAGAACTGCCCACATCCCTTGAAACTTCTCTAAACCAAATTTGCGTCACCCAGCCTAGTAGCAACTCGGTTGGTAACAGTGGTAGTCGTAATAATTGTAGTAATTAGAATAACAATAATGGTAATGATCGCTTCTCTCCATCATAAGAATGGAGCGGGGCAAGGGTTTTTCTAGCACTCGCACTCGACCGAGTCAGGTGAGTTCTGGGAGAACCGAAGGACAAAGAAATACTGCACAAAGGATCAGACACAACAGCTGGGGCAGTCCACAAAGATGACCCCCGACTACCCAACCATAAATTACTGCACAAATCCCGGTATGCACTCAAAGCAACCAAACCCGGAAACACGACACGAGCTGACACGACCTAACATTTGAGTTTGCAAGTCATGGGTACGGCGGCTACAAAACCGTAGAGTAAGATCGGCCACATCTACTCAATAATAGGACCAAGGTGCATGGAGGATACCCATTTTCGAGCATGCGCTCCTCATGCTCCCCGCCCATTGCACAGCCTCGGCCGCTCACATCGCACGCAAAGACCGAGACCAACGAGACAGTTCCGAGAGCACGGCCTTCTCCCGAAACTTGCCTTCTGCCTGAGACTGAAGAGCCCAGGGCTGAAAAAATGGCGGAGAGAGCAGCTGAGAGCGGCTGAGGCCTGGACGTGTGCAGAGAGAGTTTCCAGATTTCCGCTCAGCTTGGAGCGGTCAGAGATCCTCAGCGAAGCACAAGTCAAATGCTGATCTGGTGACCGGTGAGGTTTGAGATCGAGGTCCCTGCTGCTCTGCCCCTAGCAGACTTTACGCAATCATCAGGGTTGCAAGATCTCATGGGTTGGACACAGATGAAAGGGCATGTCAAGCAGGACCGCCTTCGTGGGAATCTGTCTGCGGAGGCCTGTTTCATGCTGGCTGGTTGCTGTTCGCCGATGTGCGAAACTACGATTAGGACTACCTTCTCAAGTTCAGCAAATGCCGAGAATTGGACGACCGGTGAATCCAGCTCGAGCTATCTGCCTGAAGTGCAAGACAAGATGACATTCCGGCATGTTTGCAGGTCTCCCCAACTTAGGCATCCACCGCGCCCATGTGCAGTACCTTCTGCAGGGCCTCCATACTTCGTTTTGTAGGGATCGCATCGTACGCAGATTTGACAGGCTGCCAAGAGCCTCTGGAGACTGGAAGAGCTGTCCACTCTGCAATGTACCATGCCACCTGGAAAGCGGCCGAGCACCCGCTTGACCCAAACTTTGGCCCCGCTGGTCTGAGCAAGAGGCTCTGGAGGCGTGATTCTGCCGTCGTTCAGTGCATCAAAACCTTCGAAGAGGTGTGCCTTGGCTGTTGCGATGGAAGAAGCGACGACAGGCTGATCTCGGTACCAGGGCTTTCGCCATCTCCGCCTTATCTTCAATGGGCGGCCGAAGCTCTTCCAAGCCCGTGCTGAACCTTGGCAGAGGGCCCTTAAGAAGACAATACATTCTAGAGAAACGAAAGTGAAAACGGAATACGATTACCCATCAAATTAGACAGAGCCCTACATTCCTCTCCTGGGCCTCGACATCCCTCCCATCTTGTTTTTTTTTTCCTATGCGGAGCTGCAAGGCGGTTTTCCGGTCACGCCTCCGGAAAGAAGCCACGGAAAGGTGAGAAAGGAATGAAAGGAGCTAACACCGCATCAGGTTCCAGAGCACCACGTGCCACGGGGTTTTCATCTTGCGGAAGGCTTCGGTATGAGAAACCTGGAGACTTTCAAGCTCATCGTCCGAGAGGAGGTGGGAAACTTCCGGGTCAACACACGTGCTGTCTCGGTGAATGATGTGTAGACACATCCCCTCTTCGTCTCTGAGCAGCCCCACCCGAGCATCCCCGAGTACACTCCGCAAATGAAGCATGAAAGGAGCATCTTCGCCAAAGTCCAGATCAGGGTATGGATGGCAAAGTGCCAGTGATCGTAAAAAGGCGTAGCTGAAGCCGTATCCATATATGGTCTCCGTCAATTCCTGCAAGTCCTCCACATCCCAAGATTCTGGATCCGAGTAGCCGCAGACCCCACTTCGGACGAAGTAATTGTGCCAGGAGGAGAGTGTCGCAGCTCCCCAGCCATGCCTTCTCATCTCTCCGATCATCCATTCACAGTAGCCATCGGCATACAAGTCGTCATCGTCGAAGTTGAGGCAGGTATCACCACTCGCTAAGCAAACGCACATGTTGCGCTTCAGTCCAACACTGAAATCCTCGCCAGGGAGTCGATGGAGAGCTACATGCACGAGCCGCTCATCCTGCTCTGCCAGAGCTTCAAGAACTTCAGAAGGCTCGTCCTCGTAAGTCTCCACCACAACCAATTCCTTGTCCGACCATGTCTGGGCCACGAAACAGGCCCAAAGCTGCTTGTGAAACTCACGGCGCGAAGCTGTCGTGGGCGTCAAGATGGAGATGCGATCGGAGAGACCGGAGGCCTGCCGTCGGGAGGCTGGCGGCCGCCGAAGCGACCGCATCTGCTGCGGATCGAAAGCTCCCCCCGATTGTTGTAAGAGCTGAGCTTCCAGTGGGGTCCAAGACGACGACATCTTGCCCGCCCGGCATTGCGCCAAATTGCACAAAGCGCTTTGCACAGCAACACTTGCAGCACGGATCCCCAGGCCTCACTACAAAACTTAGCGGACTTAGCGGACTTGCAATGACCTCTTCAGACAGCCTGCTGAACCTTTGGCCAACCAAGCCCTTGGATGTTTCTTAGCTGGCAAGCTCTGAGATCAAACACAAGATGTGCGGACACGCTCGCATCTGGCAGTCGAACTGCACCACTGCTTTGAGAAACGGACTCGTCGCGACTCAGCCGGTGGTTGTCGTCCTGGTCCATCTTCTGGAAGGCATTGGACAATGTGGACCACCGGCCCTCAGGCTGCAAGCGTCTTCTACTGGCGCCGACTTCACTAAGACTGAGGCACCCAGCCAAGACACGAGTCTTCAAAGTGTCGATTGAGACACCTCAGCCAAAGATGTCCGATGCTGACAGATTGACAGAACATGACGGCAAGACACGCTCAACACTCCGAAGCTGAGACCTGCAGAGGTCGGGGGCCTTAGACAAGTCAGCTCTGCACTGGAACGCTGTCTACAGGGTGCCGAGAAGCCAACGCAGCTCCCAGTGGTAGGCTTGCATCCTGCAAGCCCAGTGAATTCGCCAAGTCCATCTCGTTGAGGTTCCCATCCTCGAGCAAGTGACATGCTGTGAGCTCAGGCCTTCCTAGTCCTAGTCCCATGCCGGAAGCGACGACACCCAACTTTTTTTCGTCTGCGCATAAACCTACGTCACAAAGGTCCAGGGGACAGGTCTTGTGCATCTTCTGCTGCAGCCGCGGCATGCGTGTACTGCTCCATAAGGTCACCGTCCGGGCCCTCGGAACCATGAGGAGTATGAATGCTGCGTTGCTTGAGCGTGTACAATATCGCCCACAGCTCGAAAGGCCCCCACAACGGATATGTTAGCTTGCAGAGAAGCGTGCCTTCAGCAACGCCGAGAACAAGTCTTGTAGGGTTCTGTCCCGTTCTTTCTGCCAGGCTCATCCACCATCGATTCGTCTGCAGCCGTGCTTGTATTTTGTCAGACATCTGCCAGTATCTGTCAGAGGCCCACTCATACCAACCACCCTCTTCGGGTGTCGATTGCGGCCGCCCCGCCGCCAAACGGCTCTTGACTTGTGACCAGGCTGATGTTACGGTTCGCCTTTTCGGAAACACCCGGCGCAAAGGCTGGAATCTAGTTCCCACAAGGACGAACACCCCGAGGGTGACATACTTGGCACCGAGAAAAATTGTGATAACTTTGGGCACATCGCCAGGATCAAGCCCCCAACTCGAGATGTACTTTTGCAGCCGCTGCCCCACCATGATTGCTCAAACTACGTCTTAAATGGAGCTAATGCCAGCACGCACATCACATCCATGCTGCCTGGAAACGTCTGTTCACGACCCAACTGGGCACCTTAACTATGCTTCGCTTCAACGAAAGTTCAACATTGACTCTCGGCCACCACTTAACCGACCTGGAGCATGCAGCGTTGACAGTTTGCTACCCGCGTTGCTTGTGCCAAGCAGACCAAGCACCAATTCATGCTGGATTGTGCAAGCGAGGGCCTCGACGGAGAAAAAACCATCGACATGAGCATACGACCCTTTCGGAACTTGGAACCTCCGGATCCCGGCTGTCCTGACTCACATCGATGGACTTGAAGGCCTGCCGGTCAGCCAAGATTCACCGGCCTGGATCCGCCTTCCACATGGACCGCGACATGCCGGCAGTGCAAATTCTGCTCGCGGCTCGGTCAGGCTCTTCAAAAAAGGACCATGACCTAAAGTAGCCGGCGAAGCAACACGAAGACCGCCAGTGTGTGTGTTGCTACGTCACCCCTCGGGGACAGACCGGAGAATCCGGTTGCAGCCGCCAGCCACTCATCGTGGCTGACTACCTTTGTGGCCGGAAGTCGGCTCGTCGAGACACTGCAGTAGGGACGACGCCGCTAACAACACACAGGCAGCGGCTCCATCCATATTGGTGTCCATTTGCTTGACGACCTCACGCCGCAGATGCAAGATTAGGCCACATGCAAACTACCAGTAGAGCTCCCAGGGGGCCTGTGCAGGTGTTAGATCCGGGGCGAGGCTTCCTCGCAGCTCGCTGGCCTGCTAGCAGGGCCGACGCATGGTTTGTTTTGAAGCTCACGCCTGCTCTCTCCATGATCAGAGGGTGCGGCACTAATGAGGCTGCAGGACAACGTCTTCTCCTTCGACCACTCAAACCTGAGGCAGTAGAATCAAAGCAATTGTCTTGCAAGCGTCAAATTCGTGGCCAAGCTGCCGCCACATGTCCAGGCCATCATAGCAATCGTACTTAGAGGTTGCCTGCGGACAGGCCACGTGTGCGAAAGGGATTGGGCAGTGAGGGTTAGGGTTGGCTCTGCGGGCCTGCGCTGGAATAGCTTCCGGCTGGAAGCTTGCAACAGAGGACGGTGCTTTGGCAGACTGCCAAAACTGTCCTTCGTATTCTCCACGCCTGTCTGAAACAAAAAGCCTTTCTCCGGGCACTGGCTCCAGAAAACGCCCGAAGTTCGGCCTGAAACAGGCGAGGAGCTCATGGATGTCAACCTGAAGAAGCAATGCGTGACTATGATGCCTACCACATGGGACTTACGATGGCCAAAGTGCCTGTCCGTCCATCGCAGAGTCGATGCCATGAAACATCGAAGAGATCTGCCAGCTGATGTTGGCTCATCGCAGTAACGACGCACCAGAAACCAAAGTACAGCAGAGCAGCCATGCTACGACATACTTCACGCTCGAGTTGTCCACTGTAAAGCTAGAAATTGCCTCCCATTCTTTTTCAGACTGCGTCCGCACGTTACCGCGATGCTGTCTTGCGCACGTGGTGCCCTCTGAAGGTGACGCACACTGTGACGCGCCGCCCCAGGTGAACGATTGCTTCGTTGCACTGCCTCAGAAGCCTCTGCCTTCAGACGTGCATTCGCGACGCTCCTTGTGAGGGTTTCTTCTGCGTCGCTATGCAGCTGTTTTTTTTTCGAAATGCAACGAACGGGCGCGGTCTGGAAGCAAGGCGGAGCAGCAGAGCAGCTTGCAGGTCTTTCATGGACATTTTGCCCACTGCTCCTTCACCAGCCGAAGAAAGCTCCAAAAGCCCTGGCCTGAGACCTTGAGAGTCCCCAGTTCCAATCCTTGCGTCAACAGAATCATGAACGATTCATGCCGAGACAGCTGAAAAAAGGCCTGGATTGCATCCGTCCATTCTTGCAAGTTCGGCTTGCCGGTGCCGGACATCCGGTGAAGAGCTGCCTGGCGCGCAGCACTTCCGACGGATCGTCAGGCATTTTCGCAGGCATCCAAGCTAGAGGGACTTGGGGTCCCAGTTGCCACGGGCGAGCTTCGGGCTAGACAAACATCGAGGCATGGATCTGACACCGCAGGGCTTCAACCCAGCTAAACGCACATGAAGTCACAAGGGCGACCAAGCTCGCGACCTGCGGCGACGCCGCCACGGTCTTGAAAAGGCGCATCAATGTTTTACACCTCAGCTCAGAAGATTGAAGAAGGCATGGACTGGCCAAGGGAGCAACGCCCTGCACCACTCAGCCGCAAGCGTTGGAGCCCCATGCGCCTGCCCAGTGCGGGGCACATGTCAAGAACCATCTGGCATCCACATTCGCAGTCGCAGCAGCGTTTTCAGCGATCGTTGCTCCAACTTGCTGCGAATTCGAGTGGTGCTTAACACCAACTCGATGTTATTATCAGCAACGAGAAGCACACCCTCCTTGAAGAGGCGCTAAGCTCTCAAATCAGCCGGGTCTGCTGTAGGAGCGCCCTCTTTCCTTACGACAGCGACTGACAATAAAGGCAAGGTAGTCCGATCTGCACCTGATTGGAGCACAACTTGCGAAAAGCCTCGATGAATGTCGTGGCGCAAGCTGTCGCAAAGAGACCTGACAGGAGGAACACTCATTAACAGGACATCAGCTTGCCGTCAGGGCCTGATGTCTGCGTGGTCTTCATGCTGCGGGGCAAAGACCTCATTCTAAAAACTGCAGATGCTCCGAAGTTTATGTTCTGGCCTGAGCCCAACACCCCGGCTGAGTCAGCGGTTGCCGTGGATAGTCTAGCTGACATTGCAGTAGCCACACCCTCCTTGGCTACATGGTTTGCCGCACCCCGACGTCAAGGCAAGCGCCAATATCCAGCAAGGGCACCCCGAGTTTTGCGCTCACTCGCTGCAACAGCCTTCGCTTCTCCTGTGATGGCTCGCAACCGAAACCGATCAGACATGTCCCACGGATTGCATTCAGGGACATCGGGTGGATGGGGCGAGGGTCCTCGATCAGCTCGCGGCACAAGGTAGAGTGTCGCGTTTGCATACCCACCGAAGCTGACAGAGCTGCAGACTCCGTGTCCTTCCCCACACCCTGCAGACACTTCGATGCCGCCGTCTTGGCTTCACGAGTGTCGCATTGATGTGTCTTTTGTGGAAAATGTTTGGGGCTCGGCTGGTTGGCCCGGAAAGGGACTGGTTGCGAATTGTTTCGGCGAGGTCTGGCTGCAGGCGCGAAGCCTGCGAAGGATGCTGCAGAGGTCGTCTTCTTGACGTTTCGCTTGGGCTGTTTGGGATCGGGCTGCGGAGCCTCCGAGTTGGAGGCCTGCGCCATCTTGCTGCTGATGGTGGGCCGTGCATATCGACAATTGTACTCCATGTACTCGACAGAAGTGTCCTTTGGCTGGCTTGCTTTCACATCAGTCTGCTGCATCCGATCTGGCAGAGAAGGACGATCATGTGGATGAGCTCCAGGTTGCCTATTCTTTCGTAGACGCTGTGGCCGCAACACATCCTCGTCCAGCCAAATAAGCGCTGGAAACATGCTGGCCACCCATGCCCTGTGCTTTGACTGAGACAGCGGATTGCCGTGGATCTGAAGAGATTCAAGGCGGGAGCAAGCTGCTAGTGGCCGCAGCAGTTGCCTGGAGTTCAACCGGTTCTCTGACAAGTCCAGCACACTGAGATTCAGCAGCATTTCGATCTGGTCAGTCTTCGTCAACCGGTTTGTTGCAAAGGTTAGGTAGTGCAACTGAGAACACCTTGCGACGCCTGCGGAAGAGGACAGGAAATTGTTTGACACGTCAAGCTTCTCAAGAGCCAGCTTCGGCAAGCATGTCAGAGCTTCCAAACGGCATGACGACAGATCGAGACTGCGCAGGTTCCGCAAGCCGGACAGCGCCCTGGACAAGTCTTCCATGTTTCCGAAGGCGTTGCCGGACAAGCACAAGGTCGTCAAGGCTCTTGGCATGGCCTTACAGTAGCTCTTTTAAGTGCTCTCTTGCCGCGGTCTGAACTGTTCTCGGCGTTTATCGCCTGCATGACCCACTGAGTTGCTCTGATTCGTAAACCTTTTTTTGATAGCAACGACGACGGTTGGACCTATTTAGCTTCGAAGTCATGAGCGGACAGCTACTTCTGGCAAAATGAACTGATGCAGTACTACCAAAAGAGTCGTCATTGAGCTGCTGCTGCTGCTGCTGCTGCTGCTGTTGCTGCTTCTGCTGCTGCTGCTTCTGCTGCTGCTGCTGCTGCTGCTGGCTAAAACTACCACCATGGGGGCGACGACGACGACGACTAATTATTACTACTACTACTACTACTACTCCTACTACTGCACCAGCAGCAATGGAAAAGGTGTCTTACTTTGCCTCCTTGCTGCTTGTGGGATGACTGGGCCGAGGCTGTGGAGCTGAAAGTCTTTCAGATCGATGTGCGGCTGTGAGGCACTCGCCTGTACCTGCGAGCGGAGAATACTAGGATAACACTAGTGATGCTGAAATCACGCTGACATCGAATCCAAGCTTCTCTATAAAAACAAACGATAACACAGTCTTTGGTCACAGCCATGACAAGAAGACTGCATGCTCTACAACAGCAAGAGCTTAAAGACTAATGTCACATTTAAGTTTAAGCCTTTATCAGAAGAGCTAGGCCGCTGTTACCAACCGGCCCACCCAGCCCGCTCTCCCACCCACTCGCCCAATTACGGTAGCACCACTTGTCTCGTCTTCCGTCGGAGACCAAGCCCCGATTGCATACACTTTCGCGATTTCGCGAATCACATGGCCTATAGTATATAGTGCAGGCGAGATGCCAGCTGCAGGGCTCTTTCCATCTGGGCAACTTGAAACTGCGTTTCACGTAGCCTCTGGGGAGTGTCGCCTCGATCACTCTCGGCCTCGCCTGGGTGATTTCGGCCCCCCTCATCGCTCAGGTTCTCGTCACCTGCTTCGCCTAAACCCGATCGGCTGTCGGCGATCTTCGGTTCCGGCTGGATTGAGCTCGCCGCTTGAGAGGTTTCGCCAATCTCACCATCGTTATCATCAAACTGCTTCAGCAGACCCTGCAAAGCTTGAAGGTGTCCAGCGGCTTGACTGCTCTCCTCTGTATCCGAAGCGTCTGCTAGAATTTCCTCGGTGCATACTACAGCATGCAGTCCAAACCGTGAAATCAACGTCGTTCGGAAGCTACGGCCCCACGGGATGTTCAGGCAAGTTGCGCTCAAGGTGTCATGAGCCGTCATCTTGGCTTGGAGCTATGCTTCCTATTCATTGCTGCAAAGTCATGTGGCATCTGACAACTTGTTTCTGCTTTGTATGATCAGCTTGCATCCCGAAACTGTCACTTCCGACTTGGTACACTTCTCCAATTCTCCAGTAAAATGTGTTCCGTGCTTGCTCGCGGCTCACAGGCGACTCGCAAGTGAGAGCAAAGTGGCGTAAATGTAGCCAGAGAACGCGCATGCAGCTGATGCAACTGGCCTGCGTCTGTCCGGTAACATAGCCCGCTTCAGACGTCCTAGAAGCACCACAGCATCCGAACACCGGGCCTTCTGGCAGTCTATTGCTGTGCTCCCGGCCATTGCTGAGCGGACAGCCGCCTGCCTGCGAAAATCTTGCAATCATGCCGGGCATCCGAGTCGTGAGGAAACGCTCTCGGTCTGACGCGCTTACCAAGGCACAAATTTCCATCGCTTGCCCCGCTTCTTTAGCAAACAGCCGGAGTCTGCGAATAACTTGAGAAGAGCGCCACGAAAGTTAAGTGCAGACAAACTGAGCAGAGATGACCCTCAATAATCACTGACTGCACCCCTCAAACTCAAAAGTGACGACTCAACAGCTGCACACAGTGTCGGACATTCCAATGAAGTTGGCGTTGGGAGCGGAAACTTAGGGGCCTGGATTCGAGGATACCTGGATGGTACTAGTACCCTCCAGAGCAGCCCTAGCAGCGTCGACGTGGGTGCTCATCAAGAGCTGCGTTTCGAGCCCAGCCCGTTTGCATGGCTTGCGCACAGCATCGACTTGCAGGAGCTCTGCCGCCACTACGCTTTGATACGCTTGGACCTTTGGCTATGTGACAAAAAACTGCGCCTCCATCGAAGCCTCTTTCGTGAACTGCGGCCCACCTGGGTACACAACATCGTGTTTTGCTATGCTTGGCCCGACCCGGGGCCCAGACGCCATCATCCCCAGAGCCGCAGCAGCAAGCCCAACACCCACCTGCTGCCAGATTCGGCATGCAAGCTGCAATGCTGCGAATTACCGTGCACGTTTCGGCATGGCGGCTGCCTAGATCCACGAGCAAACCGAATACACGTCGCTGAAACCGCATTCGGCAAAAAGTCGACACATGCCGACGGCATGCTTGCGGAAACAGTCCCTTCTTGTTGGTACACTTCTCGATTTGTGCGTGTCATCCTTGTGCAGGGGCCATGCTAATCTTCTCTTGTGTCGTTGCAAGGGTTGTGGATTTCGGCATCGTTACTACCAGTATTCACCTGGTGGATTGACCAGGCGCATGCTGTTGAAACCACACCTCCAGAACTATCGCCGCTTCCACATGGCTGAGTTTTGCATACACTGCGTCTATTGTCCATAGGAATGCAGAAACTGTGCGGCAGTGAAGAGCTAGTTGTCTCAGCAACTTCTGGAACGCACATGCTTCATGCAGAAGTTCCGAAGCCTGGCATAGGGTAGGAGTTCATAACGTTATGCAAGATTACATATTACAGCTCAATCGGTCCGGTGTTGGAAGAGCTTACCCATCAGTAAATTGCATGAGCCCCCCGATCCGAAATCATGCTACTCACGACCTGCTCCATCAAACAACTTCCACACCTTAGGAATCGCATCTTGAATCACGCGCTTCGACCCATAATAATGGATATGGGGCCCGCGACGCTTAGTATTCGTCTGTGTCCACCTTGACTCGAGGACTGCCACCGCGGTCATGAAGTACAGACCTTCACGACACAACGCTTGCCAATTTCGGAATTGGTCGGCCTGCTGGTTCTGAGATAACATCACATCGACGTGAGGCCGAGGTACATTGCTGCAAGCTGCTGCACCAGCTCGGGCAAAAATTCCTCTTTGGGAGGCCCGGTCCTGCCTATCTACTCTGGCAGCCGATTACGTTCGTCCACGCCCAGAAACTCAGCACTCGGATAGAAACGGCAAGCAGTTGACTACCGCAGCAGTACGGCAGCGCTTTTGGATCGCGGGCGGCACGCAATGCCTAGGGCATGTTGTGCCCGGATGCGAGTACCAGAAACTCGGGTCGAGAAGACCAAAGGCGACTAGCCACGCCCGGCCATCCGCATCAGCATCGGCATCCTTGATGTGAAAAGCCAAGAGCTGAGAGTTCGATGCAGAGTCGCAGTCTGATATGGCGTGACACTGCATCATAAGCCGGGGTTGCGGGCCATGCCATCAACCCCATGCAGGCCGGCCTTGCGTTTTGCTGCGGATCGAGACGAAAACACACTATGCCTCCTCTGGGGCAGAAGCATAAGTGTACCGAAAAAGAAGGCCAAGTAGAACCAGTTGGAGAAGACCCAGGACTCACAGCCAGGCCAGGAAACGGCTCATGGCTCACACTGGTAACTTCCTGAGCATCCCGCGATCCAACCCTGTGAGGGCTCAGGTGGCGAAGGCAAAGACGAGTTGGGGCTGGATTTGGCCTGACAGCGGGCACGAGCGACAGGCAGGCCAAGCGCGCTTCGGCTCCTGGCCTCCACCGCTTCCTTGTCAGCTCCGCCGCTTGATTCGGAGCTGGAGCCATTGCCTCATTCCCCACAAAACGTGCAGATGGCCGCCATGGCCGAAGAAGATGCAATGTGCTTGACCACATCATCTTCGAGTCGCAGACCTTCTGAGCCGTTTCCGCTGTCATCTCCGTCTCCGGGCTCGTCAGATGCATTGGCAGTTGATGCGGCCGACATCGCTTTGGTGGTGTTCCCGGTGACCCCCTTTCTCTTGCGACGTAAAGCCTGTCTTGCTCTTCTCGTCTTGGCGAGTGCGGTCTTGCTCTTTGCTGTCGGGGAGGCCAGTTTTGCTCTCTTCGGGAGTGCCCTCTTGGCGAGGGCGGTCCGTGGAGCCAGGGTTGGCACGGAAGTGACGCTGCGAGGCTTCATGCCTGGTAGCAAAGGTGGTGTGCTAGGGATACGAGTAGGGCTCACAGTTGCCAGCGGTGTAGCAAGGATTGCCGTGGTAGTGGGCAGTGCAGTTGTAGCGGCCACGGTTGTGACCACCGTGGATGGCTGGGATACGTCCTCTGCATTAAACGCTGCACTCCTGGCTGACTCCATCCTGCGGGCGTGGCCTGACCTTGCCTGAGAGCACGTGGCACTTGAAATGGCACGGGCTCCGCATTGCTAAGCCCCACACCCTTCGAATGAGCACAGTGCCGTCGGCTGCAGTAGTGGCAAGCCTTGTTAGTCAACAGCTGGGAAGCATCTGTCGACGCCGTTCCACGACTTGCAGCAAGGGTGCAGTCAACGCGCTTCAGAGAAGAAAAACAGAGGTTCTTTTTGTCATTGGCAATGGCTTACTGGAGGGACGAACGCTCCCTTGCCGGCTGCCGACGGCAGGCCTTGGCACATCTTGGCAAGGAGTTGGCTTATCCAAGATGCCCTTCGCAAGATGCTGACACTCGCTGCCACATGCTGACACTCTTTTCAGGCCTGTGCTGCAGAGACTGGCTGTAACCCTGAATGATCATGGTGATCTCAGAAACTGGTCTTCCAGCAGACATGACTGCTGGGAAGCTGCGAGAACCATCTGCTTGGCATTGGATTCCGAAGCCGAAGCATTACTTCTCGAAGCCTGAGAGAAGCAAGCCTTCATTCCTAGAGTCACAAACACTCGGGACGGATAGGCCAAGCCACCATGCTGTTGTCCGATTTCGCTTCCTCACGAGCACAAACCACGAGATCCTCTCCCGGATGAGCTTTTTGGACGTATCTTGGCTCGCTCACACCACTCTGGTGCGCATCTCGAGCTTGAAGAGAAACAGTTTATGCAATTCATGCACATGTGTAGCTGATCAGAGTACAAAACCTGACGTGCATCCCAGCATCTTTCTTGCGATGACCAAGGCCTTGATGGCTTGACTGCCTGCGACCGCGCCAACACCTCGGAGCACGCCTTTTGTTTTGCCGGCCCGTCTAAAGTAGGCGTAACACAGCGTTCCGAATGAAGGAGACCCGGAATCGTGCAACATCACGGCTAGAAACCCTTTCAGGGAAAAATGCGCTGTAGCCGAGGAAAGAAGGGTACTCAATGGAAAGAGTTCGCGCATCTTCGCGCCCCACGGGTGAAGCACAGAATCAGACACCATCTGCGTCACTTGCTCAGCACACCACTCCGCAGTGCAAGCGTGACCTCGGGTTCCTCCGCAGTTCAGGCTGGAAGCGAGCAAGTCTCTCCGTTCATCGAAAAGGAGCACTAAAGCACAGGCAACGACGAAACCTTAGAAAAGTGCCCACACAGCTCGTCCTACCCTACGGAGGCAACTTCATTTGCTTCGGTTACGCTCCTCTGCCAAACGAGATGCCATAAACGCTGCCGCTTGGCCAACATTGGTCTTCCTCAGCTATCCCGTCATAAGTAAAGCGACGAGGTCTTCGAGATCATGAAGTCAAAGATGATTCGCTTGCTGCAAGTGACAATCTGCGACCTTCTGCCCAAGGAAGATCCGGCCAAGCATCTGAGAAATGGGAACCACCTCCTGCAGATGTGCGTCTAGGTGTGTATGCGAATATGAAAACTTACGCATGTGTCAGTGAATCAATCAGGCCGTCATTGGCGACTCCAACAGTATCACCGTTTGAAGAGGCCAGAAAAGTACGAGTCATCATGCCGATGACAACATACCCGAAGACGGCATGGAAACTGAAACGAAAGAGTCGTGAAGCAGCAAGCCATTGATTGATCCAACCAATCGAAGCCTGTCGCTGCAACGCAGAGTTCGGAAAGCTGACAACCACAGGCAAAAACACGCACACACACACACACACACGCAGAGGGCCTTCAGGGAAAGCTAAGTTCCCAATACGACCGCAATCTTAGCAGCCGCTCTAAGTGCCCAAATCTGTGCTCCTCGCGTGCTTTCTGGCCCGACTTCGGAAAGAGCTCCGCCACGAGTCGCATCTCAATGTACTCGTTCTGCTCCTGAGCCACTGCTTCAGTTTCTGCATGCTTCTGCCATCTCCCCGCATCTCTGAATGTCCTGCTTCTGGACATGCCGTTCCTGGGCGTGCCAGCACGCATCCAAGCACGGCATACCAACAGTGCCACATCCACTGGCTACAGCACTCAAAGACCATGGGAGTGCTGACGAGGTACGGCGACGAACAGCAATTCCTGGTCCTCTTTTTCCTTCAACTCTTAACCGTGACCGGCAACACTACTGGCATGTTCTGTTGGATGTCCTTGCTCAGCCAGTGCCCCGACAGCGTAAGGGAGCGTAAGGCGGAGTGAAGTGCTGGCGGACCAATCGCGGACAGACGCGCGACTTGTCCCTCACGCAGCCTGCAAGGAAGTGACAGGATACTGAAACCAAACATCTGCTACCTGCCAAGAGTCTAAGAGACTCTTCCATGATCTTAGTTGCTGTCCTGCTGGCCACAGCCCCACTGAGCTTGGAGATGTTGCCGCCCGCCGACGCGATGAGAACCTCCGGCCTGAGAGGCAAGGTCGGTGCAGCCCCCACTCACGTAGTCCTGCCCTTGCACGCTGCAGCAAAGCAACACATGCACGGAAGCAGAGGCGGCGTGGCGCTTGGCTGCTTGCCAAGCTGTGGACGCAGGCATTCTGGTCCATGAGGCCAGCATCTCAACACTTTTAGTCCATCAGCTGTGGTACTGTAGGAGTCCTAAAGGTAACAGTGCGGTCCACCACAGTATGAGGTGAGTAAGCTGAAATGTCGACTCTCTCTACCTTTTCAATGCTTGAGCCGATCCGAAGACTCTAGCGACATGGCGTCTGCTGTGTTTGGCCGTTGTCGACGCATTCCGTCAATTCTCCGCGTCTTGCGATTTGCAACCCAGTTGCATATGCTCCGGTCCCGATTGCGACCATGACCTGCAACGAAAAAGCTTCATAAAACGCTGAGGACTGCCAGTATGCATCACGTGCATCACGGAGCCCGACTCTTTTCGCTGCATTTGGGCTGTCATCGCAAGCGCTCTATCACCAGCGCTGTTGCGCCCCCTCCACCATTTGCAATGGCTGCACATCCTGTCTCGGCGTCCTGCATGAGACAGCACTGCAGACAACGAGACATCACTCAGCAGCACTGGTCACTAGTGCTCCATGCAGTCCTGTTGAGAAAGCACGTTGAGGAGTGTGCATAGAATGCGAGCCCCGGATGCCCCCAAAGGGTGGCCAAGTGACACTCCGCCACCGTTGATGTTCACCCGCCTCGATAGCAGACTGCAGGGCGTCATGGCTGAAAGCATTTACAAACGAAACCCGCCCTAGCTGCTCAAATGGACGAATCCAAGTCTCGAATGGTCCAACTCCAACAAGCGCATGTTGGCTAGCGCTACCTGAGTCAATCATAACCCTACAATAGCGCAATTATGGTAAACGCATACTTCCCTAGTAAGAACGGCAATAACAATGACACTCACTAGCACAAAAGCACTAAGAATCAAACAATGACAATAGCAATGGCGGAACGATATAGTGAACAGGTACAGTAGCAGTAACGGCAACAGGAATCATAACCCGAGGATCCCTAAAAACATTTCTTCATAGAACCCCGGAAAGCACTGCCACAGGGGGAGGCCTGGGCCTGGGCCTGGGAGCATCCTGGAGCCTGTACCTGTATGTATAAATATAAATATAAATATAAATATAAATATAAATATACATACAAATATACATATAAAATACATATAAATATAAATATATATATATATAACATACATGAACATAAACATAAACATGAACATAAACATAGACATAGACATAGACATAGACATGGACATGGACATACATAGACATAGACATGGACATAGTACACACACACATAAACATAACCATATACATGTAAACATAAACATAAACATATACATATAAACATAAAAATATACATATACGTATACAAGTACAAATACAAATACAAATACATATACGTATACATACACAGATACAGACACAAATACATATGCATAAATGTATGTATGGGTATGTATGCACATATATATATATATATGCTA